GATTAAACCTGTGCCACAGCAACACACTCCCCAGAGAGACCAGGAGTCAAACCCACAACCTCCAGAGGTTTTACTGAGAAGAGACGGGAAAAACTCTGAGAATCATGGAACTTTAATTCTATAAAGTTAGAGTTAGAATGATAAAAAAAAAAAAAAAAAAACTGACAAAAAACAACAACAACAATTTAACAAAATAAACCTGTTAACTATGTGTTTTTTTTTTTTTTTTTTGTCATTATGTATTTTTAATTTATTTATTTATTTTTATATCTGCTGGGGTTATTTTTGGAAAAAAGCACAAATAAAATTATATGTATATTTTTAAAAAAGTGTTGGTTTTCAGAACAATTTAATTTCACATTTTGATTTCATACGTTTTTTGTGTGACATTTGTTGTGTTTTGAAGCCTGTGTGTGTGTTTGTGTGTCTGTGTGTGTGTGTGTTTATGTGTCTGTGTGTGTCTGTGTGTGTGTTTGTTTGTGTGATGTGTGTGTGTGTGTGTGTGTGGTGTGTGTGTGTCTGTGTGTGTCTGTGTGTGTGTTTATGTGTCTGTGTGTTTGTGTGAGTGTTTTGTGTGTCTTGTGTGTGTTGTGTGTTGTGTGTGTAGTGTGTGTGTGTGTGTGTGTGTGTTTTGTGTGTCTGTGTGTGTGTGTGTGTGTTTATGTGTCTGTGTGTGTCTGTGTGTGTGTTTATGTGTCTGTGTGTGTCTGTGTGTGTGTTTGTGTGTCTGTGTGTGTGTGTGTGAGTGTTTATGTGTGTGTATGTTTGTGTCTTTGTTGTGTGTTTGTTGTGTCTTTGTTGTGTGTTTATGTGTCTGTGTGTGTGAGTGTTTATGTTTGTGTGTGTGTTTGTGTGTGAGTGTGTGTATGAGTTTGTGTGTCTGTGTGTGTGTGTGTTTATGTTTGTGTGTTTATGTGTGTATGTTTATGTTTGTGTGTGTGTTTGTGTGTGAGTGTTTGTTGATGTTTGTGTGTTTGTTGTGTGTTTGTGTGTGTTTGTTGTGTGTTTGTGTTGTTGTGTGTTGTGTTGTTGTGTTGTGTGTGTGTTGTTGTTGTGTTTTGTTTGTGTGTTTGTTGTGTTTGTTGTGTGTGTGTTGTGTGTTTTGTTGTATTGTGTGTGTGTGTGTGTTGTGTATTGTGTTGTGTGTTTTGTTGTGTGTTTGTCGTGTGTTTGTTGTGTGTTTGTTGTGTATTTGTTGTGTTTGTTGTGTGTTTGTGTATTTGTTGTGTGTTTGTCGTGTGTTTGTTGTGTGTTTGTTGTGTTGTTTGTTGTGTGTTTGTTGTGTTTGTTGTGTTTGTTGTGTGTTTTGTGTGTGTTGTTTGTGTGTTGTTGTTGTTTGTTGTTGTGTGTTGTGTGTTTGTTGTGTGTTTGTTGTGTTTGTTGTGTGTTTGTCGTGTGTTTGTCGTGTGTTTGTGTGTGTTTGTTTGTTGTGTGTTTGTTGTATTTGTTGTGTGTTTGTTGTGTGTTTGTTGAAGTGAGGTTTGGTTTTATTGCCTGTGAACAGCCCCAGCAGATTGTGTTTGAATGAGAGAGGGAGGGATGGAGGGATGGAGGGGGAGGAAGGGAGGGGCAGAGGACAGGAGGGGCGGAGGGATGGAGGGAGGGAGGGGAGGAGGACGGGAGGGCATCCTGTTTAAAGGCTCGTCACATTCATTTGACACCAGCTGGAAACCACACCCACGATTCAACGACTCGACACCAACACGTCCACACTCCTTTACCTCCAGTCAACCGGGTCACTCAGGTCACTCAGGTCACCCCGAGTACACCACAGACACGAGAGAAAGAGAGAAAGAAAAAGAGAGAAAGAGAGAGGAGAGTTTTTTTTAAAATAAAAGTCTTGTTTGGCTGAACATTGGATTTTTCTCTCGTCACTGAATCTGTGTGAAGAAAAAAAAAAAAAAACAAGAAGAGAAGGAGAGAAGGAAGAAAGGAGGAGGAGAGAGGAGGAGGACAAGAGGAAAGGAGGAAGAGAGGAGGACAGGAGAGGAGAGAGGAGAGGAGGAGGAGGAGATGAGCAGAGGAGGAGAAGAAGAATAGGAGAGGAGGAAGAGAGGAGGAGGAGAGGAGGAGAAGAGGAGGAGAGAGGAGGAGAGAGAGGAGGAGAGGAGGAGAGGAGGAGGAGAGGAGAGGAGGAGAGAGGAGAGGAGAGAGGAGGAGGAGGAGAGAGGAGAGGAGGGAGGAGGAGGAGAAGAGAGGAGGAGAGAGGAGGAGGACAAAAGGAAAGGAGGAGAGGAGAGATGGAGGACAGGAGGAGGAGAGGAGGAGGGGGGTGGAGTGGCTGGTGGAGAGAGAGAGTGAAGGAGGGAGGGACAGAGAGAGAAAGGGGAGAGAGGGATGGAGAAATAGCGAGAGAGCGAGGGGGGGTGAAAGAAAGAAAGAAGGAAGGAAAGCGAGAGAGAGACACCTGCTGCAGAGAGAGCGAGAGAGAGCAGGAGTGAGGAAAGAGAGGAGAAGAGAGAGAGAGAGAGAGAGAAGGAGTGAGGAAAGAGAGGAGAAGAGAGGAGAGAGAGAGAGAGAGAAGGAGTGAGGAAAGAGAGGAGAGAAGAGAGAGAGAGAGAGAGAGAGAAGGAGTGAGGAAAGAGAGGAGAAAGAAAGAGAGAGAGAGAGAAGAGAGAGAAAGAGAGAGAAAGAGAGAGAGAAGAAGAGAGAGAGGAGAGAGAGAGAGAGAGGAGAGAGAAGAGAGAGAAGAGAGAGAGAGAGAGAGAAGGAGTGAGGAGAAGAGAGAGAGAGAGAGAGAGAGAGAGGAGAGGAGAAGAGAGAAAGAGAGAGAGAGAGAGAGAGAAGGAGTGAGGAAAGAGAGGAGAAAGAGAGAGAGGAGAGAGAGAGAGAAGGAGTGAGGAAAGAGAGAGAAAGAGAGAGAGAGAGAGAGAAGGAGTGAGAAAAGAGAGGAGAGAAAGAGAGAGAGAGAGAGAGAGAGAGAGAGAGAAGGAGTGAGGAAAGAGAGGAAAGAGAAAGAGAGAGGAGAAAGAGAGAGAGGGAGAGAAAAAGAGGGATGGAGAGAGATGTTTGTCTGATCCTGATTTCTTCTTGTGTTGATGTTGTTTTGTTTGTACCAGCGTCACTTTTTCTTTTTCTTTTCTGTTTCTTTTCTCCGTCAGCTGCTCGTTTCCATGGAGACGTCACTGCTCTGTCTGGAATGTTCCGCAGTGTGACTTTAAACAACTCCACTTTACATTTACTCAAAAACACCTGGATAAAAACAGCCTCTCCACAGATCTGACCCGGGACTGACTCTGGTTCGGTCTCGGTTTAGTCCTGGTTCAGTCCTGGTTAAGTCCTAGTTTAGACCTGGTTTAGTCCTGGTTTACTCTTTATTTAGACCTGGTTTAGTCCTGGTTAAGTCCTAGTTTAGTCCTGGTTTAGTTCTGGTTTAGACCTGGTTTAGTCCTAGTTTAGACCTGGTTTAGTCCTTATTTAGTCTTGGTTTAGTCCTGGTTTCTCCGTGAAGACAGAAAGGTTTAATGCCGTACTGTGGAACATTCTGGACAAAGCAAAAACATCTGACGCTTCTTTCACCTGAAAAACTTTACACATTTACACAAAGAGAAAAAAGTTTTGGAGTCACTGTTTATTTATTTATTTATTTGGTGCGATCGGCGAAACGAGATCATCACAAAGGTTAAAATCGCCGTGGCAACAACAGAATAATAATAATAATAATAATAATAATGGTGATAAAGCATGCACACGTTTGCATAGGAATGACCGCGCACACGTCCCGTTTTCCCTTCTTCTTTATTTATATTTTTTTAAACCGAAAGTGAAAGTAAAACCATAAAACGCACAAAACCCTTGAAGTAACGCGGACGACGAGAAGAGCAGCAGCGGCTTCAGGAAAAAAAAAAACTCCAGACAAAGTTGAAAAAGGAAAGAGACCGGGACAGGACGGAGAAACGAAACGACGGTGACGGCGGATGGGCGGCGGTGACTGGCGGGCGACGGGCGCGCCCCCCGGAGGCGTCGCTCGTCGTTACGCGCTGAGTCTGGAATCGTCTTCACAAAAGTTGAAACGCACAAAACCTTTGATTTTTTAAAAATTTGAAACGTCGTTAAGAGAAAAGTGCGACATCGATCTGCGAATGCGACACGTTAAGAAAACACACCCAGAGTTTAGAGCCAAATTAGAGTTTTTCAGAGTTTTTCTTCACTGGACACGTTTAACATCAAGTTTATTTATTTTTATTACAAATGAATTGATCTGAATTTAAATATTTTTCTTCACTTTGCTTCTCAAGTCCTGGTTTAGTCCTGGTTTAGTCCTGGTTTAGTCCTGGTTTAGACCTGGCCTAATTTAGACCTAATTTAAGACCTGGTTTAGTCCTGGTTTTAGGCCTAGACCTGGTTTAGTCCTGGTTTAGACCTGGTTTTAGACCTTTAGTACTGGTTTAGTCCTTATTTAGTCCTGTTTAGATCCTTATTTAGAGTCCTGGTTTAGTTTAGACCTGGTTTAGACCTGGTTTTATTTACCTGGTTTAGTCCTGGTTTAGTCCTGGTTTAGTCCTGGTTTAGTCCTGGTTTAGTCCTGGTTTAGTCCTGGTTAGTCCTTTAGTGTTTTCATTTAGAGTTTCGTGTTTCCGTGGCGATACATTTGTTCATTTGGCTGAAATATTCCACAGTATAAAAAGCTCAAACGCGTCCATCTCCGTGGAGAATGTTCCGGAGTGCGGCTTTAACTTCACTTCATTTACACAGAATCACAGAGTTCCTGTTTCACCTCCGGAAAGTTCCAGAACAGAGCTTTAAATCACAAAAAAACCTGTAAAACGTGCCCGATTAAATAAATAAAAAGAACGACGGCGACGGGTTTCCGCTTCCCGTCGACTGCCGCCATTTGAGCGACTTTTCGAAGATCTACTTCAAACGGTGTAATATTCGATTGAATGGAAATTCGTCAGGTAACGTTCCAAAGCAAAGAGGCGTTTTCCGACGAGGGCGTAAACTTTTAAACAGTTGACTCACCTGCCGCTTTGCCGCACCTTGCCGCACCTGTGGTTTCTAGAATGTTCCGATGTCGTGAACTCAAACCGTCTTTTCGTTTCTTTTCCACCGTTTTGAATCAGTTTATTTTTTTTTTTCAAACCGTTAGTATTAATTTTTTTTTATTATTAGTGATTGCACTTCAGGTCTCGGGTTCGGGGAGTTTTTTTGTTTGTTTTTTTGATCTCGATGCTTCGCAGTGACGTGTTCCGCATGTATGTCTATGGCAGAAAGTCCAGCAGCTGAAAATGTGTGGTTTAAATCCGTTTTGTATCTGCTTTTTTCAGTTTTCAGACTCTTCTTCACGTGTTTTTGACGGGTTTCTGTGATGCGTAGTATCTGCTGAACGTTCCGCCGTAGAGGCACGTGTAGAACCCCCCCTCTCACTGCGGAGTATCCGTATCGGGGGCGGGATGGAGGGTTATTGTTGTTGGAGGAGGCGCTCGCTCTCGCTGCTCTGGGAGTCGGGGCTGCTGTCGGAGCTCGGGGCACGGACACACAAACCGAGCACCTCCTGAACTCTCACCGGCAACTCCTGAAACAAAGAGAGAGAGAGAGAGAGAAGGAGGGGGGGAGAAAAGAGGAGAAGAAGGTGTAGAAGAGGGAGAGAGAGAAAAGGGGTAAAAGAGAGGAAGAGAATGAAACATTAGAAGGTACAAAACAATTCTTCAGTTTTAGTTCTCATCTTGGCCGCCACATGTGAGTGTGTGTTCTGTGTGGTTCTGTGTGTTTTGTGTGTGTTCTGTGGGTTCTGTGTGTTTTGTGTGTGTTTTGTGTGTTTTTTGTTGTGTGTTTTTGTGTTCTATGTGTTCTGTGGGTTCTTTGAGTTCTGTGTGTTCTGTGTGTTCTGTGTGTGTTCTGTGTGTTTTTGTGTGTTCTGTGGTTGTTCTTTTGTGTTCTGTGTGTTCTGTGTGTTCTGTGTGTTCTGTGTTCTGTGTTCTGTGTGTTCTGTGTGTTCTGTGTGTGTGTGTGTTTGTGTGTTCTTGTGTGTTTTGTGTGTTCTGTGTGTTTTGTGTGTGTGTTCTGTGTGTTCTGTGTGTTCTGTGTGTTTTGTGTGTTCTGTGTGTTCTGTGTGTTCTGTGTGTTTCTGTGTGGTTCTGTGTTTCTGTGTGTGTGTTCTGTGTGTTCTGTGTGTTCGGTGTGTTCGGTGTGTTTTGTGTGTTCTGTGTGTTCTGTGTGTTTTGTGTGTGTTTTGTTTGTGTGTTCTGTGTGTGTTTTGTGTGTTCTGTGTGTTCTGTGTGTTCTGTGTGTGTGTTTTGTGTGTTCTGTGTGTTTTGTGTGTTCTGTGTGTTCTGTGTGTTCTGTGTGTGTTCTGTGTGTTCTGTGTGTTCTGTGTTCTGTGTTTGTGTGTTTTGTGTGTGTGTTCTGTGTGTGTTCTGTGTGTTCTGTGTGTTCTGTGTGTTTTGTGTGTTCTGTGGGTTCTGTGTGTTCGGTGTGTTCTGTGTGTTCTGTGTGTTCTGTGTGTTCTGTGTGTTTTGTGTGTTCTGTGTGTTCTGTGTGTTCTGTGTGTTCTGTGTGTTTTGTGTGTTTTGTGTGTTCTGTGTGTGTTTTGTGTGTGTTTGTGTGTGTTTTTGTGTGTTCTGTGTGTGTTCTGTGGGTTCTGTGTGTTTTGTGTGTGTTCTGTGTGTTCTGTGTGTTCTGTGGGTTCTGTGTGTTTTGTGTGTTCTGTGTGTTCTGTGTGTGTGTGTTTGTGTGTTCTGTGAGTTCTGTGTGTTCTGCCCCAGGGCGACTGTGGCTGCAGAAGAAGCCAACATCAACAAGTATGAAGACGTTTGAAGAGTGAAGTGTTTTAGAACAGACAGTGACAGTTTCAGCAGCTGATTTGTCAAAGGATCATTTCTGATGTAAACTGTAAAACTTTTCAAATACATTTGAATGAAATAAAGATCGACTTCTAGATGATATATATTTTAAATTAATTAATCACTGCATTTATACAGGACTTTTCCAGATGCCCAAAGTGTTTTACAGATCACTGTTCCTTCTCTCCACTCAGTGGTGGTAAACTCTTACTGTAGCCACAGCCGCCCTGGGGCAGACTGACAGCAGCGAGGCTGCCAATCTGCACCATTGGTCCCTCTGACCAACACTCACACACTCCACTTTCACACTACACAGTGTGGGTGAAGTGTTTTGCCTAAGAACACAACGGCAGTTTTTTGCCGCTGACGCCTCCTAAGGCTCCTGATTTTCCCAGAGTCTCCCATCGAAGTCCAGACCAAGACCCAGACCCAGACCACGACCCAGACCAAGACAGACCACAGACCCAGACCACGACCCAAGACCAAGACCCAGACCCAGACCAGACCAGACCAAGACCCAGACCACGACCGACCACGACCCAGACCAAGACCCAGACCCAGACCACGACCCAGACCACAGCCCAGACCAAGACCCAGACCAAGACCCAGACCAAGACCCAGACCACGACCACGACCCAGACCCAGACCACGACCCAGACCAAGACCCAGACAGACCAGACCACGACCAGACCAAGACCAGACCAGACCCCCAGACCCAGACCAAGACCAGACCCACGACCCAGACCAAGACCAGACCACCAGACCCAGACCACGACCCAGACCCAGACCCGACCCAGACCAAGACCCAGACCAAGACCCAGACCACCAGACCCAGACCACGACCAGACCCCAGACCCAGACCCAGACCCAGACCCAGACCAGACCCAGACCCAGACCAAGACCCCAGACCCAGACCCAGACCCAGACACGACCCAGACCCAGACCCAGACCAGACCCAGACCAGACCCAGACCACACCCAGACCAAGACCCAGACCAACGACCCAGACCACGACCCAGACCACGACCCAGACCAAGACCCAGACCCGACCAACGACCCAGACCACCAGACCCAGAGACCACGACCAGACCAGACCACGACCCAGACCAAGACCCAAGACCCAGACCCAGACCCAGACCAACGACACGACCAGACCAGACACGACCCAGACCAAGACCCAGACCACGACCCAGACCAAGACCCAGACCACGACCCAGACCCAGACCCAGACCCAGACCCAGACCCCCAGACCCAGACCCACGACCCAGACCAGACCCAGACCAAGACCCAGACCAGACCCAGACCCAGACCCAGACCACGACCCAAGACCCAGACCAAGACCCAGACCCACGACCCAGACCCAAGACCCAGACCAAGACCCAGACCACGACCCAGACCGACCCAGACCCAGACCAGACCAAGACCCAGACCCAGACCACGACCAGACCAAGACCAGACCCAGACCCGACGACCCAGACCAAGACCCAGACCAGACCAGACCCAGACCCAGACCAAGACCCAGACCAGACCCAGACCCAGACCCAGACCAGAGACCAGACCAGACCCAGACCAGACCCAGACCCAGACCCAGACCACGACCCAGACCAAGACCCAGACCACGACCCAGACCACGACCCAGACCAAGACCCAGACCACAACCCAGACCAGACCAGACCAAGACCCAGACCACCAGACCACCCAGACCAAGACCCAGACCAGACCCAAGACCAGACACGACCCAGACCAAGACCCAGACCACGACCCGACCACGACCCAGACCAGACCAGACCAAGACCAGACCAAGACCCAGACCAGACCAGACCAGACCAGACCCAGACCACGACCCAGACCACCCAGACCAAGACCCAGACCAAGACCCAGACCAAGACCCAGAGCTCTGAGCTTCTGAGATCTGACAGGATCAGACTTTGACACAATCATGGCCATAATAATAATAATAATAATAATAACAACAAGAATTCATCGGTTCTGACCCACATGAGTTTTAAACCAGGACTAAACCACAAACTGGGACAAATACTGACTTTAGACTAGGGATGGGCATGATTAGTCGATTAATCGATAATTAATCATTAAGAATTTCATCGATTACGTTCATTTTAATCGACAAACCGAATGTAGGTTGGTGTGTGTATCGTGACCTAACAGGTGTGTACATGTCGGTCAGTCTGCAACGTACTGAAGTGCAAATGCGAACGATGTGCAACGATGACTTGTCCATGTGCACAGTGGATAAAGCAGCACATATGTTTCTGTGTCCAGTGGGAAAAAGTTTTTCCAGGTGAGAGTCGCTCAATGTGGATGACGAGGCCCCGCCCCCCTCCCCCCGTACGCTGTCCTGGTTTTGACAAAACACAAATCTGGTCACACTGACCTGTATTCACCTGAGTCATGTCTTTTAATCCAACACAAGTTGAACCACATCAGCGACACAAGAGCTGGAGTTTTATCTTCACTTAGTTTATGTAAATTAGTGATGTGGTTTTAAGTTTTGTTTCTGTGAGATTTGAACAAAACTGAATTAAACACATTATAATGTCAAACAGCTGATGTGGATCTAGAGTCGTTATGTTTATATGTCGTAAAGTTGAATTTATTTATGCAAATTAGTGCAGATAGTAATAATAATGATGATCATTTTTATATAAAAACGTTAATGATTAATCGATAATCGATAATCGATCGTTAATGCTTCCGACGATCTATTAAGAAAATTTCATCGAATGCTCGTCCCTACTTTAGACTGGATCAAAATGAATCAAATGAAAATGTCATCAACATCAGGACATAACTGAACCAAAACCAGGACTAAACCAGGACTAAACCAGAACCAAACTGAGGGTTCTTTCACACCAAACGCAGTTGTTGCACCAAACGTTCCTTTATAACCAGAAGCTCTCAGTCTGGTTTGTTTTCTTTGGTGTGAAAGCTTCACTCGCTCTTGGATCTGCACTAAATCAAACAACCGAGACTCAAAAAAAAAAAAAAAAAAAGTGGTCCGTGTCCGTCTTGGACATACGACAATTGGACCAGTTTTGGTGAGTTTGCAGGTGTGACAGGTCCACACTGGAGTCTAGACACGTCAGAAGAACTATTTTATTGTCTGGAGTGGAACAAATAATCAAACTAACGGTGTGAAATCGTCTTAAGTCTATCATCAGGACTAGACCGGGCTCACACCAGGACCCGACAGGGACAGGTGTGAACACGTCCTCGGAGTGCAGAAGCCCAGAGGCGACGCCACGAGGAAAAAAAACGGGTCAAACTAAACAAGAACAAAGAGATTCTCTGCTTTGAGAAACGTGAAACTCCAAAGAGGATCGACAAAAAGAGAAAGAGCTACACCAGAACAGACCTGCCCCTGCCCCTGAGCTTCTGGCCCTATGTCCTCAAATTTTACTGCAGAAATCTAAAGCTTTGAGATCTTTTAAACCGGAAACACTGGAGGAACCACATGAATAAATCTCTAAGTGGTACTTGGTTTGTCAGCGGTGATTCAGATTTTATTGTGTTGGTCCTTTTTAAGATGATCGTGAACAAAAGAATCTAAAGCTCAAAATGTTCCTGCACATTCATTAAAGAGCTTTCACGGAAAAACAGTTCACGGCCGAGCACTTGAAAATAAACCAAATATAAAAGAGTCTGCGCGTTTAAAGAGAATGAAAGTGGGACGTACTTTGCAGGAGAGCAGCTGCAGGTAGATGGCCTCAGCTCCACGCAGAATCGACTGGAGGTCCAGCTTCATGGTCAACTCGTTTATGTGCTGAAAACAAGAACAAACGCAAGAGAGAGAGAGAGAGGTTTAATGCCACACACAGCATGTTTAAGCTCGGTGTTAAAGTGTTATTGGTTTGAGGAGGGTGAGGAACATGTTTTCAAGGGTTAGTACGTTTATAGTGTGTGTTTTTAATGTGTTTTAGGTAGTGTTACTTTTGTGTGGAAGGACAGGTTTTCAATGAGATTTGTTCATGTTTTCAATGTTTTAAGTGTGTGTTTTAAGCGTGTTTTAAGTGTGTTTTAGTGTTTTAAGTGTGTTTTTAAGTGTTTTTGTTTTTAAGTGTGTTTTGTTTTAAATGTTTTAAGTGTTTTAAGTGTGTTTTAAGTGTGTTTTGAGTGTGTTTTAAGCGTGTTTTAAGTGTGTTTTAGTGTGTTTTAAGTGTGTTTTAAGTGTGTTTTAAGCATGTTTTTAAGCGTGTTTTAAGTGTGTTTTAAGTGTTTTAAGCGTGTTTTAAGTGTGTTTTAAGCAGGGTGTTTTATTGTGTTTTAAGTGTGTTTTAAGCGTGTTTTAAGGGTGTTTTATTGTGTTTTAAGTGTGTTTTAAGCGTGTTTTAAGTGTGTTTTGAGTGTGTTTTAAGCGTGTTTTAAGTGTGTTTTGAGTGTGTTTTAAGCGTGTTTTAAGGGTGTTTTAAGCATGTTTTAAGCGTGTTTTGAGTGTGTTTTAAGCATGTTTTAGCTCGGTGTTAAAGTGTTATTGGTTTGAGGACGGTGAGGAACATGTTTTCACTGAGGTGTGTACATTTTGTGAATGTTTTAGTACGTTTATAGTGTGTGTTTTTAATGTGTTTTAGGTGTTACTTTCAGACTGTGTGGAAGGACAGGTTTTCAATGAGATTTGTTCATGTTTTAAGCATGTTTTAAGTGTGTTTTGAGTGTGTTTTAAGCGTGTTTTAAGTGTGTTTTAGTGTGTTTTAAGTGTGTGTTTTAAGCGTGTTTTAAGGGTGTTTTATTAAGTGTGTTTTAAGTGTGTTTTAAGCGTGTTTTAAGGGTGTTTTATTGTGTTTTAAGGGTGTTTTTAGTGTGTTTTAAGCGTGTTTTAAGTGTGTTTTGAGTGTGTGTTGAGTGTGTTTTAAGCGTGTTTTAAGGGTGTTTTAAGCATGTTTTAAGCGTGTTTTGAGTGTGTTTTAAGCATGTTTAAGCTCAGTGTTATAGTGTTATTGGTTTGAGGACGGTGAGGAACATGTTTTCACCGAGGTGTGTACATTTTGTGAATGTTTTAGTTGTGTTTTAGTGTTGTTTTAGTGTGTTTTAGGTGTTGGAAGACTGTTGGAAATACAGTTTTGTTCTGTGATTTTTTTAAGCATGTTTTAAGCATGTTTTAAGCATGTTTTAAGTGTGTTTTAAGCGTGTTTTGAACATGTTTTGTGGCGTTACTTTGAGGATGGTGTTGAAGTCGTGGTCAGAGCCGATCAGTTCTCCTCTCTGAGACTCTGAGAAGATGGAACAGGCCAGTTCTCCTCTCTGGGAGTTCTACAGTGGAAGGGTCCACAGGCTGGACCAGAACTGGACAGCACCTGCTACCTGGACTGCTACTGCTATGCTACCTACTGCTACTGCTACTGCTACTGCTCTACTGCTACTGCTACTGCTACTGCTACTACTACTACTCGCTTGTTTTTTCTTCTGAAGCTGGAAAAGGCAGTTGCCCTAAACTTTGGGTCTTAAGCAGGTTTGACGGAGCAGCACATTCACTCTTCACTAAATGCATTTAAATATTATTATTATTATTATTATATTATTTGTTGTTTTTAAATGTTTGTCCGTGTCTCACCTCCCACAGCGTCAGAATGTCCTCGAAGGAAAACTCTCTCTTAAACCAGATGAGCAGCCACCGGAAACAGAAGCACAGAGAGCCGCTGTCCTGGGAGTCTGAGGACAAGAGAATAACACACAAACACACAGGTAAACACACACGAGCGCTGTGAGTGATTATTTTTATATTCTCTTATCATTATTATTCTCTCAGTGTGTTTTTAAACTCTAAAATCAAACACTCCTCTCTCCATAATCCGTGTATCATTCGTTCATTCGTTTTTCAATATAAAACCAAAAATAAGAAAACAAAAAAACAACAGTTTTCTTCGTTATTTGTCTCCAAAACCAAAATGAAAAAACGGATAACGATTCCTTTTTTCAGTTTTCGATTCTGTGTTTAAATGAAGAATGGAAAAAACGGATAACGGCCGTTTCCCGTTTACGTGATTTCCGTGACTGTAATGCCGAACTTTTGCACCGCATACGGACTGAACCAGGACTGATCCAGGTCCGAGACCAGAGCGAGACTGAGACCGGGACCAGACCGGGACCAGGGCGGACTCCGAGCTTTGACTCCGAGCCTCCACGGGGTCTGAGCCTCAGCTTCGAGCTCCGGCCCTGCCACGGGCTCTGAGCCTCCGGTCTGGTCCCGGTCTGGTCCCAGTCTCAGTAGCGCTCTGGTCTCGGACCTGGATCCGTCCTGATTCAGTCCGTATGCGGTGAGACTGGGACCAGACCGGGCCTGAGACCGAGACCAGACAAGACCAGGACCAGACCGGCTCAGAGCCCGGCAGGGCCGGAGCTCGAAGCTGAGGCTCGGACCCCGTGGAGGCTCGGAGTCAAAGCTCGGAGTCCGCCCTGGTCCCGGTCTGGTCCCGGTCTGGTCCCGGTCTGGTCCCGGTCTCAGTCCCGCTCTGGTCCCGGTCTGGTCTCGGACCTGGATCAGTCCCGGTTCAGTCCGTATGCAGTGCAAAAGTTCGGCATCGCAGTCACGGAAGTCACGTAAACGGGAAACGGCCGTTATCCGTTTTTTCCATTCTTCATTTTAACACAAAATCAAAAACTGAAAAAACGAATCGTTATCCGTTTTTTCATTTTGGTTTTGGAGACAAATAACGAAGAAAACTGTTGTTTTTTCGTTTTCTTATTTTTGGTTTTATATTGAAAAACGAATGAACGAATGATACACGGATTCTCCATCCCTCTCTCTTCTCTCTCTCACCGAGGAAGTCACAGAGTTCGGGGTCGAGGGCTCTCAGCAGCAGACTGAGCTGCAGCAGCTGCTTCTTCATGGCCTCCTGAGACTCCTCAAAGTTCAGGTGCTGAAAAACACAACGAGACCAAGAGGAGCGAGTCAGTCACAAACAAACAAACAAACGAATCTAAAAAACGGAGTCCAAACTCACCACGAGGTCCATGAAGCCGGTCAGACACCAGAACGACTCCACCTCGTTCTGAGTCACAAACAGCAGCGGAGCCAAGAGGTCACTCATGCCCTGGACGTAACCTGAACACACAGATACCATCACCACACCATAACTACAACCATAACCATAACTATAACTATAACCATACAACTACAACCATAACCATAACTATAACTATAACTATAAGTTCCACTTTTTTTCATGGTTTGGGTGTTTCCTGTGACTTATACTCTGGTGCGACTTGTATATTAAAATTGTCAGACTGAAGTCGTGAGAGGCTCTAGTCTTGTGTGTCAGTATCTAGTACTGTTCCTCCTGTACCACTCTCACTTCACTCTCTACTGCGCATGTCTCCTGTAGAAAAAGCCGCTGTCTCGCTGCAAGTCCTGAAATATTCAGCTGAAAACAGAAATCGAGCAGCAGAAAGAAAGTTTGGAGTGAGAGAGAAACTTGTGACACCGGGAGGATGCACCATGAAACTTTCCTGAAGTCACTGGATGGATGGACAAAGCCTGGACTTCAGTGACACTGAAACCATCCTGTCGAGATTCAGAAAGACCAGAATAATTCTAACTGAACTGATGCTGAATCTGACGACAGCTATGATTTCTCTCCGGAGGTCACGCAGAAGTGACACGGAGGATGAAGAATTCACTGGATTTAGTGATTTGGAGTGAGATCGATAGTTTGATAAACTTATATTTTGTTGTTTATGCTTTAAATATCTGAAGAACTGTTCATATGTAACGTTAACACACAGGTGTCAAACATATGGCCCGGGGGCCAGATCCGGCCCTCCAAGACCTTTAATCTGGTCCTCGGCTGATTTTCTACTAAAATATTGTAATGATATTTTCTATTAAAATCTTGTTAATTTTCTGTGGTGTTTATCACAGCAGCGTCTCCAGCGTCTCTGTACGTGGCCCCTCCCACCAGAGCAGCACAAATGAAGACTTGTCTCTTTCCAAACGCTCTTAAAGGACGATCGTTTTGACTGTTGACCGTGACACCCTCATCAGAAAAATGTCCAACATGAGAAAAGTGGAGCCGAGTGCAGGATTTTACAACAAAAATTGACTTATTCCTGTTTACAGACAAGTTCATGTTAAAACTTTGTGTTGAAATTGTATTTTTCTTAAAGTTTCAGGTTGTTCATAATATTATAATATTTTGTAAAAGAAAGAGTTCATCAATTAAAAAAGATTTCTGTAATAGATTTGTGTTTCTCTGCACAAATATTTGAACTTATTGTTATTTTTGGGGTTTATATGACATGAGTTTTCTGATCCGGACACTTTGGGATCAAAGTCGGTGGGATACGACCCCCGGAACAAAATGAGTTTGACTCTCCTGCTTTAACATATTAACGCCTGTTCAGCCAGTTGTTTTCTCTTCTATTGTTTTTACTGTAACTTGCCTTTCAAGATGAAATGTCATTCCTGGTCTCTGATTTTATAAAATACATTTCCCCAGAAAGTGCAACTTATACTCCGGAGCGACTTATAGTCCAGAAAATACGGTATAACCACAAATATGACCCAAACCCAAACTACAACATAAACAGCAGGTCACTCGGGCCCTGGACAAAACCTGAACATAAATATATACAAATATTACATTTCAACCATAACTGTCCCCTAAAACAGAACCTGACCTCAAGGAGCTCGTGTCAAAACTTTCCTCCCTTCAAGTCATTTAAGATCATGGATTTATTTATTATTATTTATTTCTCACATAGTTGATTATTTTGTTTTGAAAATATAAAAATATATACTGACACTGCAATTATATGAAGCAAAATCAATAAAATAAATAAAGAAATAGGTCATTGTAAACACTTGTAAAGAGTGTTTGTGTGGTGTTTGTGTTACCGAGGTCGAAGTTGTACATGCAGTAGGTCATGAGGACGTCGTGCAGCAGAGTGAGGCCCGGATTATCGTTCCCCGAGAAAAACGTGTTGTTTCTGTCTGTGCGGCTCACGTCACGCTCTGAGGAAACAAAACACACAACGCACAACACAAAACAAACATCACACATCTGAAAACACACATTATACACTTTACACTTCACACTCCGCTGAGGGTTTCTTTTATTTTACGCTCTTCTGCTGAGCTCGTTTCTTGTGCTACCTGGGACTGCGTTGTGTTCTCGATTATTGGTTCCGCCGCTCTTTATTTAGGCGATGTTATTTAATCAAATAATGGCGGCTAAAAAATTACCGTTGTTTACCAAAGTCGTACTTACTGTATTTTCTGCACTATAGGATGCACTTAAAAGCCTTTAATTTCATCCAAAAACGAGCGCCTTATAATCCAGAGCACCTTATATATGAATTTATTTGTGTGTCTTTAATTGTGTGACTTTAGTAAACTACAAAGCCGCTCCACTTGCAGCATTCCGGCTCCCGTAGTCAGGAGCATCAGGAGTAATAGTAATAGTAAAGGGATTCCTTTAAAATCAAAATGCACCTGTCAAGAGACACGCTCACAACGGCCACTTTAAACTCAAGGCTGTTCTAACGTGAAAGTGCGTTTAGCTGCGTGGGAGCAGTGAATGAGAGAAGGAGAACAAACATTCACCAAGACAGAGAGACAGCGCCGAGCCACTTACGCCACGATCTGCCGACGGATCGTGGACGCCCGGGCGAAGGATCAGGATCAACTGAGGTCCGAGCTTTCACCAAGACCCGAATCATCACTGAACTGAACTCCTGGGAACAGGAACCACACTGACTCGGATCATGACGAGAGGGATGCTGTTTCAACTAGAGCCCAACCGATATATTGGCTGGCCGATATTATCGGTCAATATGGACACCTGGAGACATATCGACTATCGGCCGATATGTTTGCTGATATGGGCCGATATTTCACGTGGGCATGTTATACCTCGTTATAAAGCTTAGACTCTCTACATTATGTTCATTTAATCCAATTTACAGACAGATAAATGTCCAAATATGTGGCTCCACATCAGTATTTATTTGCGGTGTAATTTGTCTGTGTCCGTACTGTCCTTGAACACACCACCAGAGTCACTTCACTCACGTGTGTTTGTTTACACTCGCAGCCGTGCGCAACACTGAGATTATTTTCTTTTTACGGACAATCTGTTTGAGTCTGGATTAAAAGGACATTTATTAGTTCAGACTTGTGATGTGGGAGGAGCCTGTGTGAGGCTGAGTGTTGGAAATACATCGACTTTGAAGCTAGTTTAGGTTTTGTTAGCGATTAGCTGCTGTAGCTCTCACACATAAACAGTCTGTTTTCTATTGGTCTATTGTAAAGTGTTTACATTGGCCGTATATTTATTACTGGACCAGTATTGATATGTAAATGAGCTGTGAATAGACGTGTGAATGATCCACATTTATGCATATAATTAATTACCGCGGTGCGCACGTTTTTACGGCTAAAGGCTAATAGCGGTAGTTTATTTACTAGCTAGGAGTTATGGGTCGGTCGCGATCGAAGCGGCTCTTAGATCCGGCTCTTTGAAGTGAATGACAGGAGCATGTTTCTTATTGGGAGCCGTGTTTTCTCTTTTTCTCACTTTTTCTCTTCATGCCGCATGTAGACCCGTAGTTTGACAGCAGCAGCGGCTGAAAACGAAACTTTCAGAAATCTGCATGTGCATAGGATAAAAAAAAGTGCATATTTGGCTGCAGTTCAGCATAAAATGAATAAACCAGGACTAATCTTGGGCTCGAGTGCAGGAGAGAGATAGAAACCGAGTCCCGACACTCAGTCCTGGTTCAGTTCTGGTTTAGTCCTGCTTGCAACAAAACAATCTCAAGAGTCGCTTGGGAGCCGAAAGAGCCAGTTGCTTTAGTGAGCCGAGCCAAAAGAGCCGGTTCTCCAAAAAAAAAACCTGGAATACCCATCACTAGTAGCTAGAATGTGATGCAAAAATGCCATTAGGCCAAACTACTGTCTGTAAATATGATGTAAAGAGGCAGAACAACAATAAATGTTGTCTAAATAAACCCAATTTAGAATCCACTAGAGCCAAACCTAAGTTTTTTAAACAATTCAAGATTTACTGTGAATTTTTCCATCACTAAATATATCGGCGATTATATCGGCAGCTCCAACTCCCATTATATCAGTTTCATATCGGCCACAACAAAATCCATATCAGTCGGGCTCTAGTTTCAACTATTATGACTTATTGTGAATACATGAACAATTTAGAGTCTCAGACAGTATTTTTTTTACACGTTACAATTGAACAAAGTTGAGAATTTTTGTGAACGCGTAAAATAAAGTTTGACTGACTTATTGAACTGTTGTGTTTCGTTTAATGCGCCTTATAGTCTGGTGCGGTTTATATGCAAATTTTTTTTTAAAAATAGACCATTCAATGACAGCGCGCCTTATAATCCAGAGCGCCTATAGTGCTGAAAATACGGTAAATATTTTGACAGATTTTTGAGCGCCGTGTGCCACATAAAATCAGTTGGAGGTCAGTAAGCACAACCAGAATTAATACATAGAAAATTAAAAGATTTTAAGTGCGCCTTATAGTCCGAAAAATACGGTAAACTTTTGAGGAGTAATGCAATACGGAAACACTATGTACAGCACAAATTTTAAGACCCAGATAAGACCGTGTTGGAGTTTCTAAAGCAGCTTTTTCTGATCAGATTGTGTTAAAACGAAGCTCAGATTAAAGTCTAGCAAACCTCAGACAGAGCAGTGCCTACAGTTAGCGTCACACCCCCAGGGAGCGTTGACGACATGTGCCGCAAAGTACCAACAAACGTTTGACGGACAGCTGCACTGACCAATCAGGTTCCTGTATCCGCGCAGCAGCGAGTTCCTCATCTCCTGCTCCTCGCTCACGGACTTCCACTGGACCTTCATCCGGAAATACTCGTCTCTGAAAAACAACGAAGCCCAAAATCATCCAAAATAAACAGAAAAAACTAAATGGAGGACAAAATGTGGGCGGGGATAGGGGATAGGTGAAGACTGGCATGTTCTGAGCCCTCAAGCCTGTAACAGTAACACAAAACACATCAGGATGTTTTTTTTTTTTTTATTGTTGGTTTAGAAGCTTTTGTGTATTTATGGAGAATTGTCGTGTGGGAGAATGGGAGAGTTGAGGGCCCAGGAGAGATCGCTAGATTACTCAAACATGCGTGGACGACTCTAAAACCTCTTCAGACGTGTTTTTGAAGGGGGAAGAACGTTAAAAAGGTAGAAATCTTTTTGCGTAACACCCCGTCTTTAATGTCACACTAAGGAACATTCCAGGCAAAGCTCTAACATCTCCACGGAGACGAAGAGACGAACTCGAGGCCTGAAAAGTTACGGTCAGAACGAAACGGCGTCCTCACGTTTTGACCCTGAGGATGTCCTCTCTCTCCGAGCGCGTGCTGTTCCAGGGGTAAAAACCCAACAGGAACTTCCACAGCTCCTTCCTCAGCGGCGGAGAGATGCCCTGGAACACAGACGCAGAGACGGGTTAGAAACAGTGTGACGGGGGCGTCCCTGTCACCGTCATGTTAAGTGACTTTCAGTAAACGTGTTAGACCCCGTCAGGTGAGTCCAGAGTATATATACATGGACATATCTAACGCTGTAGCCGCCGCGTTCCAAACAGGAAGTGCTCCAGGCGGCTCGTCCGGCTCCTTCCGACTCTGGCTCCGGTGAGTCGCAGTGAGATCTTGTGGCTCGTCTCTCTGCTGCTGTGGCCTCGGCATTTTGGTCTTAAATGTTTGTATTGGCCTGCGACACAGGATCTTGAAGATTTCATTTCGCTAACATAAATAACGGACCAATCGGACGCCTTTATTCCCCGAGGTCCCTCCCACTAGCCTTAGCAACAGGTTTGATTGACAGCTCGTGCTTTCAGGTGAGAAGGGCGAGAACATTTAACCAGCTCAGTCCTGATTGGCTCTTGTGGTTTTTATGATACTCGTGTTCGATTTACAAATATATATCATAAAACTTCACTCCTGTAACCGTGGCAACGGGAGCTTCATTTGAGTGGAGACGTCAAACTCACTTAGAAAACTTCATTTATACAGTTTATGGTTGAAACCTAAACCCTAAACACCAGCTCTCTGACCCTGTCAGAGTTAGTCCCTGTCAGTGTTACACCCTGTCAGTGTTAGTCCCTGTCAGTGTTAGACCCTGTCAGGTGAGTCCCTGTCAGGTGAGTCCCTGTCAGGTGAGTCCCTGTCAGGTGAGTCCCTGTCAGGTGAGTCTTACCCCTCTAAACACCGCCTCTTTGATCCTGTCTGGCTGCATCACTCGACCCTCAGAGTCCAGCAGGTCGTCCCAACGCTCCAGAGGTCGGCCCCTGGTCACCTGAGGACGAGGCCCCAGCTCCACGCCCTGAAAACACACACACACACACGCATACACACACACACACACGCACACACGCACACACACACACACACACACACACACACACACCCACACACACATACACACACACACACACAAACACACAGTATCAGCCTGACACACAACTGTACACACACTGAGGACCACACAGATATAATCGACTCTGTTCCTCAGTATCGATATCGAGTGTGTTCCTCAGTATTGTTATCGAGTGCGTTCCTCAGTATCGTTATCGAGTGCGTTCCTCAGTATCGTTATCGAGCGCGTTCCTCAGTATCGATATCGAGCGCGTTCCTCAGTATCGTTATCGAGCGCGTTCCTCAGTATCGATATCGAGCGCGTTCCTCAGTATCGTTATCGAGCGCGTTCCTCAGTATCGTTATCGAGCGCGTTCCTCAGTATCGATATCGAGCGCGTTCCTCAGTATCGATATCGAGCGCGTTCCTCAGTATCGATATCGAGCGCGTTCCTCAGTATCGTTATCGAGCGCGTTCCTCAGTATCGTATCGAGCGCGTTCCTCAGTATCGAGCATGTTCCTCAGTATCGATATCGAGTGTGTTCCTCAGTATCGATATCGGGTTTAGACCTCTGAGTGCGGTGACACTGCTCCTTACACATGTGATGAGCTCAAACTCGGGCTCGTCCTCCAGACCACCAGGGTGCGCCGGGTCCTGGGCTCTTCTGTGGTGCAGCGTCTCCGGAGGTTTGAGCGCCGCCCGGAAAAAGGTTGTGACTTTGGAAAATCCCCCGAACGTGGTGGCGTACGGATCGTGGATGAACCTCTGCGGACAAAAAAACAACGACAACAACGAGATTAGTCCGACTTAAACTTTGACTCGATTTAGAACAGGAGAGTCAAACTCAAATTCACAGAGTCAAAATTTAAAAATGGAACTAAATTGTGGGTCAAACTAAATATTTATTTAAAAATTTCAACAACATCGGCATGTTTTCTCTTCTTTTGAGATCTGTAATATTAAACCTTTTCTTATTCAAATAAATGTTTAATAACAGTTTTGCTTAAACATTGAATCCAGAACAAAAAATATATAAAATAATAACAACATTTTAAATAAATCATGTCTCTATAGTCGATCTTTGTGCCGTGAGCAGCTCTAAATCATGTTTGATATGATCTCGCGGGCCAAATTTAATTATATTCTGGGCCAAATTTGAGTTTGACATTTTAAAACACAGGTGTCAAACACACGGCCCGGGGGCCAGATCCGGCCCTCCAAGGCCTTTAATGTGGCCCTCGGCTGATTTTCTACTAAAATATTTTAATTATATTTTCTATTAAAATGTTGTTAATTTTCTGTGGTGTTTATCACAGCAGCGTCTCCAGCGTCTCTGTACGTGGCCCCTCCCACCAGAGCAGCACAAATGAAGACTTGTCTCTTTCCAAACGCTCTTAAAGGACGATCGTTTTGACTGTTGACCGTGACACCCTCATCAGAAAAATGTCCAACATGAGAAAAGTGGAGCCGAGTGCAGGATTTTACAACAAAAATGGACTTATTCCTGTTTACAGACAAGTTCATGTTAAAACTTTGTGTTGAAATTGTATTTTTCTTAAAGTTTCAGGTTGTTCATAATATTATAATATTTTGTAAAACAAAGAGTTCATCAGTTCAAAAAGATTTGTGTAATAGATTTGTGTTTCTCTGCACAAATATTTGAACTTATTGTTATTTTTGGGGTTTATATGACATGAGTTTTCTGATCCGGACACTTTGGGATCAAAGTCGGTTGGACACGACGCCCGGAACAAAATGAGTTTGACACTTCTGATTCAAAAAATTCAGGAAAAGTGTAACATTTCTTGTCAGATTCCAGCTCGTCTCCACGGAAACGTTACTGCTTTGTCTGGAAAGTTCCACGGAACATTCCGTAGCACAGGATTAAAGCCCCGCTGCGGGACATTTCCACACATTAGAACAGGATTAAAGCCCCGCTGCGGGACATTTCCTCACATTAGAACAGGGTTAAAGCCCCGCTGCGGGACATTTCCACACATTAGAACAGGATTAAAGCCCCGCTGCGGGACATTTCCTCACATTAGAACAGGGTTAAAGCCCCGCTGCGGGACATTTCCACACATTAGAACAGGATTAAAGCCCCGCTGCGGGACATTTCCACACATTAGAACAGGATTAAAGCCCCGCTGCGGGACATTTCCTCACATTAGAACAGGATTAAAGCCCCGCTGCGGGACAATTTCGGACTCACATTAGAACAGGATTTAAAGCCCCGCTGCGGGACATTTCCACACATTAGAACAGGATTAAAGCCCCGCTGCGGGACATTTCCTCACATTAGAACAGGATTAAAGCCCCGCTGCGGGACATTTCCTCACATTAGAACAGGATTAAAGCCCCGCTGCGGGACATTTCCTCACATTAGAACAGGATTAAAGCCCCGCTGCGGGACATTTCCTCACATTAGAACAGGATTAAAGCCCCGCTGCGGGACATTTCGGTACAAGTTACATATGAAAGCAGAGAGATGTTTGTGTTTGAGACTCGAGGGCAGGTCGGTTCACACAGGATTTCCTGAGGGAGGAGACGTCGTTTCTGCTGAACCTTTACACATGTTTATGAAATCACATCATTTACACAAACACACACCGACACAAATCTTCTCTCAAATAAACTCACACAAATGAAAACTGTCACACACAAAACAGCACAAACCAAATACAAACGTTTGGTTTTATTTTCTGTTGTTCTGAGGCCGTTTCACAGTTTGAGGAGCTGGACGATGTCACCGACCCAAAATAAAACTGTTCATATTTTAACTCTTTTCCCCCCGGACGCCGACGAGGAACAACCCACACACACACAGTGTTGGGGAGTAACAGATTACATGTACCGGAATTATGTAATCAGAGTAACTGTATTCAGTTACAGTTACTGTTTCAGTGAGTGGTAATTGGATTACAGTTACTTTGTTGAAATGGATTACATGGTGATATTTTTGTGTTTTCACATTTTGGGCTAAATCCCTTTTTTTTTTTCTTTTTCGGTAATTCCACTCATTGCTGGACACTAAACCAGGACTAAACCAGGACTAAACCAGGACTAAACCAGGACTAAACCAGGACTAAACCAGGTCTCAACCAGAACTAAACCAGGACTAAACCAGGACTAAACCAGGACTCTAAACCAGGACTAAACCAGGTCTAAACCAGGACTAAACCAGGTCTAAACCAGGTCTAAACCAGGAACTAAACCAGGACTAAACCAGGACTAAACCAGGACTAAACCAGGACTAAACCAGGAACTAAACCAGGACTAAACCAGGACTAAACCAGGACTAAACCAGGACTAAACCAGGACTAAACCAGGACTAAACCAGGACTAAACCAGGACTAAACCAGAAACTAAACCAGGAACTAAACCAGGACTAAACCAGGACTAAACCAGGAACTAAACCAGGACTAAACCAGGTCTAAACCAGGTCTAAACCAGGTCTAAACCAGGTCTAAACCAGGTCTAAACCAGGACTAAACCAGAACTAAACCAGGACTAAACCAGGACTAAACCAGGACTAAACCAGGACTAAACCAGGACTAAACCAGGAACTAAACCAGGTCTAAACCAGGTCTAAACCAGGACTAAACCAGGACTAAACCAGGACTAAACCAGAACTAAACCAGGTCTAAACCAGGTCTAAACCAGGTCTCAACCAGGTCTCAACCAGGACTAAACCAGGACTAAACCAGGACTAAAACCAGGACTAAAACCAGGACTAAAACCAGGACTAAAACCAGGACTAAAACCAGGACTAAACCAGGTCTAAACCAGGATTTAACAGGACTAAATCCTGCTGTGTGGACGTGTCTCTTCTTCTATCAATAATATTTTTAATTTGGTTAAGTAAAGACTGGGCTTTTTTATTGTCTTTTATCAGACAAAACTGCAGCAAACCAAGTAATCCAAAGTAATCAGATTACGTTACTCACTTTAAGTAATTTCATGGATTCTGTTACAAACTACATTTTGGTGTGTGTAATCTGTAATCTGTAGGGGATTACATTTTAAAAGTCACCTTCCCAACACTGTACATATATGTTACTAGTTCTACCCTTAGAGCATCACTGCATAAAAGAAAACAAACTTCCACCAGTGATTGTAAATGATTTTTACACTCATGAACTTCATTGTAACACAGACATATTTGTATCTCTGGAAACTTTAGACTCTGAACTCTTCATTTCTGGATGTTTAAATGTGATTCAACTCATTTACAGGTGTATAACAGCTCACTGAAAATGAGAGTTTACCTGGTCAGGTGCAAAATCAAAAACAAAAAACTACATTCAGCATCTGATATCTGCATGTTCTGAGTACTATATTCATAAAAAAAAATTAAATATACTTTGTCAAAGTATTTAAACAGATTTCATTTCACCAGATACAGTAGAGCCAAGTGTGCACCTGTTTTTACCTGTTGTTCACCTGTGTGGACCTAATTCATTTTTTTCATTTAACTTATTCAACTCATTTAACTTATTCATCTTATTTAATTTATTCAACTACTTCATCTTATTATAATAATAATATAATAATAAAACTCTTCAGTGTCAGTGGTTGTTCAGTATTTGTCATCTTGGTCACTTTCTCGTTTGTTTCTGTAGTGATTCTGTTATACGTCGCATCTTGGAAAAAAAGACTGAAACATTTCAAAGGACTCGCCTGAAAAACATCCAGATTTCAGGGCAGTTTTGGTTCATAATCGAGTATAAAGCCCTGATAGTTTGTTTGGACATCGCAGGACTCCACACAGACGCATCAGCCACATTCTCACTTTCATAAGTTTCACTCTCTGTAAGTCCGTCGCTGTCGCTGTTTTCCACTTTATAATCAACTTCATCATCACTTTGAAATCTATAAAAGTCACTTTCTCTAAACTTGATCCATAAAATACGTCCGCTCCTCATTATTTCTAAAACTGTGGGCCGCGATCTTTCCATTGCTCGTGTTTCGTGTTGTGTTTTTTCCGGAAGCTCCATCGTCACTACTTCGATTAACTTCGGAAAAAAACGGCGAAAACATATCCTTGAATCCTATTGGTCAGTCTAGTGTGGGTTGTAGTGGCCCCGACCGATCGCAGTCTCTGTTTAAATGTGAAAAACCGAGCCGTTTCTAATGGTCGTCAAATCACGTCTTTAGTGAAACAGCGGAGGAGTCAAAACACGTCGTTAAGGAAACAAGGGGGGTCGTCAAATGTCAAAACTTTTACAGCAGAAACGAAACACAAACGACTGACAGTTTTTGTGTAGGTTTGTGTTTGATGGGGGGTGAACTTCACGCAGGAAAACCGTCACTGTATTTCTCTTTCTCTCCTTGGAAAATCCTTTCATGTTCATGTCTGTTCAAACTGGTTCACGGTGATTCTCGTGTTTTGTCGCGTCTTAAAGTATCAGCAGCGATATATTTGTGAAGTTGTATTTTATTGTGTATTTCTTTCTGTCCCCAGAGCAGGAGTCACTCACCTGGACGAGATCGGAGCCGTCGTCGAGGAGCTGGAGTCGATCGAACGAAGGGGAGACGTCGCCGGAGTCGTTGGGGAAAGCCAAAAAGAGCCGCGCGTCCACCGGAGACCTGAGGGGGGCGACAGAGAGCAGAGCAAACGCAGAGACGGGACATGTTAAAATATCTGACCGAGCAAAAAACAATGAGTGCCCTCGTTTTTTTGCGTGTTATCTGAGATTGACAAGAATGTTTTTTCACGGTCTCGATTCACGCTTGCGTCGCAAACCAGAAAGATTTTTGGAAACGTGCGATGAAACTTCCTTGAGGTTCTGTTCGTGGTCATAAGTCTGACAAAATCTAGGAAAACTGAGAAAATGTCCCAGTTTTCTTCATCTCCATGTCATTGGAGTTCTAAATATGACCCAAACCAGGACTAAACATGACCCAAACCGGGACTAAACATGACCCAAACCGGGACTAAACATGACCCAAACCAGGACTAAACATGACCCAAACCAGGACTAAATATGACCCAAACCGGGGCTAAATATGACCCAAACAAGAACCAAACCAGGACTAAATATGACCCAAACCAGGACTAAACTATGACCCAAACCAGGGACTAAACATGACCCAAACCAGGACTAAATATGACCCAAACCAGGACTAAACATGACCCAAACCAGGACTAAACATGACCCAAACAAGAACCAAACCAGGACTAAATATGACCCAAACACCCAAACCAGGACTAAATATGACCCAAACAAGAACCAAACCAGGACTAAATATGACCCAAACAAGAACCAAACCAGGACTAAATATGACCCAAACCAGGACTAAATATGACCCAAACATGACCCAAACCAGGACTAAACATGACCCAAACAAGAACCAAACCAGGACTAAATATGACCCAAACATGACCCAAACCAGGACTAAACATGACCCAAACAAGAACCAAACCAGGACTAAACATGACCCAAACCGGGACTAAACATGACCCAAACCAGGACTAAATACCCAAACCAGGACTAAACATGACCCAAACCAGGACTAAATATGACCCAAACCCTAAATATGACCAAACAAGAACCAAACCAGGACTAAATATGACCCAAACCAGGACTAAACTATGACCCAAACCAGGACTAAACATGACCCAAACCAGGACTAAATATGACCCAAACCAGGACTAAACATGACCCAAACCAGGACTAAATATGACCCAAACCAGGACTAAATATGACCCAAACCAGGACTAAATATGACCCAAACATGACCCAAACCAGGACTAAATATGACCCAAACTAAAATGACCCAAACCAGGACTAAACATGACCCAAACAAGAACCAAACCAGGACTAAACATGACCCAAACCAGGACTAAACATGACCCAAAAATATGACCCAAACCAGGACTAAAACATGACCCAACAAATAACCAAACCAGGACTAAATATGACCCAAACATGACCCAAACCAGGACTAAATATGACCCAAACAAGAACCAAACCAGGACTAAATATGACCCAAACCAGGACTAAACAAACCCAAACCAGGACTAAACATGACCCAAACCAGGACTAAACATGACCCAAACCAGGACTAAATATGACCCAAACCAGGACTAAACATGACCCAAACCAGGACTAAACATGACCCAAATCTCAAACCAAGACTAAACCAGGACTAAACATGAAGCGTGAGGCGGGGCGGGACTCACGGGTCGAGGATGACGTAGCGGTGCATGGCTCTCAGCAGCTCTCTGGTGCCTCCTCTGTGGAAGTGCAGCGGGGGCAGAGGATGGCCCCCCCTGCTGGTCAGGACCAAGAAGTTTCTGCCCAAAGAGAAGCGAGCGCGACGCAGGGAGTAAAGCTCCGACAGAGGGAGAGAGAAAGCCCACTCTCCTGAAACACACAGAGACCACGTTTAACCGAGCTCAGGAGGAAGAGACACAAACAGAAACTCTTAAAAAGTGTTTATGACACGAATGACCTCACATTTTACTAAAACTAAACCAGGACTAAACCAGGTCTAAACCAGGTCTAAACCAGGACTAAACCAGGTCTAAACCAGGTCTAAACCATGGACTAAACTAGGGACTAATCCAGGACTAAATAAGGTCTAAATCAGGTCTAAACCAGGTCTAAACCAGGTCTAAACCAGGTCTAAACCAGGTCTAAACCAGGACTAAACTAGGACTAATCCAGGACTAAATAAGGTCTAAATCAGGTCTAAACCAGGTCTAAACCAGGACTAATCCAGGACTAAACCAGGTCTAAACCAGGTCTAAACCAGGACTAAACTAGGACTAATCCAGGACTAAACCAGGTCTAAACCAGGTCTAAACCAGGACTAAACCAGGTCTAAACCAGGTCTAAACTAGGACTAATCCAGGACTAAACTAGGACTAATCCAGGACTAAATAAGGTCTAAATCAGGTCTAAACCTGAACTAAACCAGGACTAAACCAGGACTAAACCAGGACTAAACCAGGTCTAAACTAGGAATAAACCAGGTCTAAACCAGGTCTAAACCAGGTCTAAACCAGGACTAAACTAGGACTAAATCAGGTCTAAATCAGGTCTAAACCAGGTCTAAACCAGGTCTAAACCAGGACTAATCCAGGACTAAACCAGGTCTAAACCAGGTCTAAACCAGGACTAAACTAGGACTAAATCAGGTCTAAATCAGGTCTAAACCTGAACTAAACCAGGACTAAACCAGGACTAAACCAGGTCTAAACCAGGTCTAAACCAGGTCTAAACCAGGACTAAACCAGGTCTAAACCAGGTCTAAACTAGGACTAAACCAGGTCTAAACTAGGACTAATCCAGGACTAAATAAGGTCTAAATCAGGTCTAAACCTGAACTAAACCAGGACTAAACCAGGACTAAACCAGGTCTAAACCAGGTCTAAACTAGGACTAAACCAGGTCTAAACTAGGTCTAAACTAGGACTAAACCAGGATTAACCAGGACTAAACCAGGACTAAACATGACTCAAATCAGGTCTAAACCAGAACTAAACCAGGACTAAACCAGGACTAAACCAGGACTGAACCAGGTCTGAACTAGGACTAAACCAGGTCTAAACCAGGTCTAAACCAGAACTAAACTAGGACTAAACCAGGATTAACCAGGACTAAACCAGGACTAAACATGACTCAAATCAGGTCTAAACCAGAACTAAACCAGAACTAAACCAGGACTAAACCAGGACTGAACCAGGTCTGAACTAGGACTAAACCAGGTCTAAACCAGGTCTAAACCAGACTAAACCAGAACTAAACTAGGACTAAACCAGGACTAACCAGGACTAAACCAGGACTAAACATGACTCAAACCAGGTCTAAACCAGGACTAAAACAGGACTAAACCAGGTCATTTTACTAAACCACAGGTCAGATCGTTGGGTCTGATCCTGAGACCGCGTCCGGGCGAGAGACTCGTTCACATTGTTGGTAAACTGACCTGAGGCCTTGGCGGGCGTCGGCGCTCTGCTCCTCTTCACGGTGCTGATCACGGCCCAGTCCGGCTCGTACCCGGGCTCGAACTGCGTGTCCTCCCCGTCCCCCTCCCCCTCCTGAAAAACACACCCGACATTTCATCACGTTACAACAGTTAAAGCCCCACTGCGGGACATTTCCTCACACTAGACCTTGGGGTGCAACGATATTCGATATAATATTGAATCGTTCGATACTGGTGTCACGATTCGATTCGGTTTGTTCGATCCAGTCGTGTCGCTCCAGGTCTCTGTGTGTCGTTTGTTTTGGCCAAAGTTTGTTCAGTTTTCTTGTCGCAGAAACAGAAATCAGCTCCACAGAGACTCACAGATGAAATATTCTAACAGAGGAGGGTTGATCTTTACTCACTTTGTATTTGACGTTCACAGACCTAAAGAGAACTACAAAAAGATTCACTTTTAAATACTTTAGAATAGGGATGGGCATGATTAGTCGATTAATCGATAATTGATCATTAAGAATTTCATCGATTACGTTCATTTTAATCGACAAACCGAATGTAGGTTGCTGTGTGTATCGTGTACATGTGTCTCTGCATCAGAAGGAGCGAGACACAAACAGTGGGTCAGTCTGTAACGAACCGAAGCACAAATGTGGATTTAACCAGGATTTGTAGAAGAAATTCCACACTTTCCGTTGCGTTGGGACAAGTGTGAGTCCATGTGCACAGTGGATAAAGCAGCACATATGTTTCTGTGTCCAGTGGGAAAAAGTTTTTCCAGGTGAGAGTCGCTCAATGTGGATGACGAGGCCCCGCCCCCCTCCCCCCGTACGCTGTCCTGGTTTTGACAAACACAAATCTGGTCACACTGACCTGTATTCACCTGAGTCATGTCTTTTAATCCAACACAAGTTGAACCACATCAGCGACACAAGAGCTGGAGTTTTATCTTCACTTAGTTTATGTAAATTAGTGATGTGGATTTAAGTTTTGTTTCTGTGAGATTTGAACAAAACTGAATTAAACACATTATAATGTCAAACAGCTGATGTGGCTCTAGCTCAGGGGTCGGCAACCCAGAACGTTCAAAGAGCCATATTGGCCCAAAAAAACAAAAACCAAACCTGCCTGGAGCCGCACAAAATGAAAAGTCTTATATAAGTGTAATATGAAGACAACACAGACTGTCAGTATTAACTGTATAAACCGACTATAAAAATGACTAAGTACAAATACAAAATGATCATCATGATACACAAACCCTCTGTGACCCTCTCACACTCGCTGCTCCGTCTGTAGCCACTGAAATCAGGTGGTTCGTGTTTATTCCTTTGTCATTTAGGCCCCGTTTACACGTACACGGGTATTTTTAAAAACGGAGACATTTCCCTTCGTTTGTTCACATCGTTTACACACAATTGGATAATTCGCCTCTGAAAACAAATCTTTTTAAAAACTCTGGTTAGAGTGGAGATTTTGGAAACGTTTGTGTGTAAACTGAGATAAACTGAGTTTTAGGAGCTGACGCGCTGAAAGTGCGACCGACGTTTACCTGTTGCTATGACGACGATGATGGAAGTATTCAGAGCAGCAGTCGCATTTCTTCTGATCGTGCAGAGGAGCACTCAGAAAACAAACCCGGAACAGAAGCTCTGAGCTCAGCAGCAGCACCAAACACACTGGAGGAGTCAGTGCAGCTCCTCAAGACGGGGCTGGGGGTCCAGTGTTGGTCAGATGGTCCGGAGGCTTCGTCCTCCATGTCCTGGTTCCAGACGGGGACGAGTAAGACCAGCACAAAGAACTGGGTCCGAGTGCTTCAGTGCCGTCGTCTGTGCGCTGGTTCTGTGTGGGAAAAGTGAGAATGTTCTGTGGACCACAGGTCCGGGTGCTCTGGTCTGGTTCTGAGGTGGAGCAGCGTCCGGACAGAAGCGTGAATCCCGTTTGGTTCGTTATATGTTGTTCTGAGCGTCCGTCTGCGCACGTGTTTTTTTGTTGTTGTTTTTTTCGGGGAAAGTTCTTCTCAGGTGGAGGTGGACACCACCCCCTGCTTCAGCTTCAGCTCATCTATTTGTTCTGCTGAAACACTTTTCATGTGTTTCATTTGCACACAGCTGAAGGATCAGATCCATGAGCAGATGAACGAGGGTTTTACCCCTAAACAAACCAGATTAAAACAACAACCACAAAAATCATTCCTTTTCCATTTTCACTCATTTTTGAAAAAGCTCCAGGGAGCCACTAGGGGAGAGCTAAAGAGCCACATGTGGCTCTGGAGCCGCGGGTTGCCAACCCCTGCTCTAGAGTGTTTACGGTTTATATGTCGTAAAGTTGAATTTATTTATGCAGATTAGTGCAGATAGTAATAATAATGATGATCATTTTAATACAAAAACGTTAATGATTAATCGATAATCGATCGTTAATTCTTCTGACAAAAAATCTGATTTGGGTCACTTCAGGCTGCAGTCTGAACGTCGCCATATTCCACTGAGTCGTGTCCTTTAGTCCGACAGAAGCTGAACCGCATCAGCGCACAAGGAAAGAGCAGTTTTTTTTTTAAATCTTAGTTTATGTAAATGAGTCATGTGGTTTTAAGTTTTGTTTCTGTAAAACGTAAACAAACAAACTCAAAGCTGTGTGGATAAGGAACGCTTTGATTTCGGACACATAAACGACGTGTCTGGACACAAATCGTTTCCGCTCCGGTGATTTGTTTCGGTGTAAACGCAGCCTGAGCCGTGACGTGTCTGACCTTCTTGCTGAAGAGAACAGTTGGAGCGTTGCGTCCTTCGTCTTCCACCGGACTCCACTCCAACGCAGGGATCCCGGCCTGAACACACAACAACAACAACAACGACGACGACTTTAAGATCACCATCAGGTTTATTGTATTTAATCTGGTTTACTCACGTCTCTAAACTTTTACTAACAAAGGAAGTCAAAGTCATTTTACTCTATCTTTAAATCACAATATTCAGCTAAAATTACTCACTGATTTCCAAAGTTTTCAATGGGATAAATTTTAGTAACTTAATTTTCCGATTTATGTTAATGCAAAAAACTTTCACAAAGACTTTCAGCTGTAAATAAAGTGTCATATTTTGAATTAAATTGTAAATATTTCAGCCTCCAGAGGTGTTTGAGACTCACGCGCTCGACGATCCTGATGAAGCCCGGGATGCTCGTGTCCAGGTTGCTCTTCTTGGCGTTTGTGTGAAGATAAACTCCCTCCTTCTCGAATACGAGCTGAGGAAAAAACAACAGTACGGAACATTTTTAAAAAGCATGTCAATGTTTAAATGTATAAATGTAAACGGAGCCTGTGTGTAGCATCAGAACTGGGACTAAACTGGGACCAGACCGGGAACTAAACCAGCACTAAGCCAGGACTAAACCAGGACTAAACCAGGACTAAACCAGGACTAAACCAGGACTAAACTAGGACTGAATCAGGTCAAAACCAGGACTAAACCAAGACCAAAACCTGGACTAAACCAGGACCCAAATCAGGACCAAACCAAGACTAAACCAGGACTAAACCAGGAATAAACCAGGACCAAACCAGGAATAAATCAGGACCAAAACCTGGACTAAACATGACCCAATTCAGGACTAAACCAGGACTAAACCAGGACCAAATCAGGACTAAACCAGAACTAAAACCTGGACTAAACATGACCTAAATCAGGACCAAACCAGGACTAAACCAGGACTGAATCTGGTCAAAACCAGGACAAAACCAAGACCAAAACCTGGACTAAACATGACTCAAACCAGGACTAAACCAGGAACAAATCAGGACTAAACCAGGACAAAAACCTGGACTAAACTTGACCTAAATCAGGACCAAACCAGGACTAAACCCGGACTGAGTCAGGTCAAAACCTGGAGTAAACCTGGACTAAACCACGACTGAACCTGGCCCAAACCAGAACCATTTATCGTGAGTATTTATTAGAGTTGGGATCATTCAGAAGTTGCCGATACGATACATACCTCGATACACAGGCGGCAATACGATACATTTTTCGATACAGTGCACTTTCGATTCAGTGTGATTCAATGTGTTATATTTCAAATCGATTCGATACCGTTCAATGAAAAACTGAACCGAAAGACAAAATCATGGCTGTGACACTTGTGCAAAGTTCAAATGAAAATCACTCATTTTACTTAAAACAGTGAAAATATCGACACAACTGTAGCACTTACACAAAATTAAATATACCTAAAAATACTTTTGGTGATATATCGATACACCAGATCACGATATCGATACTGTATCAGCAAATTAAACAATAATAATATATCGATATTTAAATATTTTTACACAAAATCCCCAACTAATTATGGTGGGGATTTTTTCTTTTGTTCCTGTTCTGTTTAGATTGAAAAAGGTTAAATAAGAAGGTTTCACTTCTGTCAGACAGACCAGACTGAAACCAGGACCAGGACTAAACCAGGACCAAAACCTGGACTAAACATGACCCAAACCAAGACTAAACCAGGATCAAAACTGGACTGAATCAGGACCAAACCAGGTCAATACCTGGATTTAACCAGGACCAAATCAGGACTAAACATGACCCAACCAGGACCAAACCAGGACTAATCCAGGACTGAATTAGGTCAAATTCTGAACTAAACCAGGATTAAACCAAGACCAAAACCTGGACTAAACATGATCCAAACCAGGACTAAACCAGAACTAAACATGACTCAAACCAGGACTAAACCAGGACTAAATATGACCCAAATCAGGACCAAACTAAGAATAAACCAGGACTAAACATGACTCAAACCAGGACTTAAGCAGGACTCAAACCAGGACTTAAGCAGGACTCAAACCAGGACTAAACCAGGACTAAACCTAGACCAAAACCTGAACAAACATAACCCAAATCAGGACTAAATCAGGACTAAACCAGGACTAAACCTGGACCAAAACCTGGACTAAACATGACCCAAACCAGGACTAAACCAGGACCAAATCAGGACCAAAACCTGCACTAAACATGAGCCAAGCCAGAACCAAACCAGAACTAAACAAGGATTAAATGTACCAATCAGAGTACTGCGTGTGAATACTTCGAATACTTTAACACAAAGCTGCGTTATAAACTAGGTTAGATCATTTTAAAATAATTTCTGCTGACGTGTTTTTACTTTTATCCCGTCACAAAAGGAAACACACCCTCACTAATCTCATGTTTAATAACCTGCGTACATTATTAAAGTACAGCCTGACATATTTTTATTTTGAAAAGTCACTCCTCTGTATAACAAATGAGAAAGTACTGCGCTGAATGTGTATTTTCGGTCCATTTTGCTTTTACTTTTCACATTTCTTGGTCCACTACTTTTTGGATTTTAAGATTTTAAGTATCACCATCAGTATCATTTTAAATCACATCTTAAAACTCTTTTTTTTTTACCGGTTTTGGCTTGATTTTATTCCTTATTTTTCATTTTTATTCTATTTTATTAACTTATTTCTTATAATTAATTGAATTGTTCGCGTCATTGTCTGATTTTTTTGTTCTTTCTGGACGCTGTTTTTATTGTTCTTTGCAGCTTGTACAGCCTTGTTTTTAAAAGCGATTTATTATTTATTATATTATTATTTTTACTTCTACTTTATAGTATTTATATTGATAATAACGTTACTCTTAAGTACAGTTTTTGGCACACCTATTAAAAGAAACGTAGCTGTTGTTTAGTCATTTTTGTTTAGTCGTTTTGCTTGTTTTTGTGATTAAATCTTTACAAATTCCATGTTCTTTAAGTGAATTCTTTCCGGTTTTAATCATCAGATCCACTGTCTCCGCTCCACGTGACTTTACATTTATTAAAATAAACGCACTTGTTGTTTAATATATTGTTATTTTGCTTGTTTTTGTGATTACATTTTCACATTTTCCATGTTTTCAGTAAATTCTTTCCGGCGTCAAAATGGACTCAATTTCATTTCTCTCCAGCGACTAGTTCAGGGATCAGAAAACACTAGATGATTTGCAAAAACTCAAGAAGTGCGAGTTCGGGCACCGGCCAATACTGTTGTGTGACGATTGTTGTTGTTGTACTGTTGTGTGACGATTGTCGTTGTTGTACTGTTGTGTGACGATTGTCGTTGTGTGATGATTGTGGATGTTGCGTGACGATTGTTGTTGTACTGTTGTGTGACGATTGTTGATGTTGTACTGTTGTATGACGATTGTTGTACTGTTGTGTGACGATTGTAGATGTTGTGTGATGATTGTAGATGTTTTGTGACGATTGTTGTTGTTGTACTGTTGTGTAACTGTTGTTGTTTTTGTACTGTTGTGTAACTGTTGTTGTTGTACTGTTGTATGATGTTGTTTGTTGTACTGTTGTATGATGATGTTGTGTTGTTGTACTGTTGTGTAACTGTTGTTGTTGTACTGTTGTATGATGATTGTTGTTGTTGTACTGTTGTATGTGATGATTGTTGTTGTTGTACTGTTGTGTGACGATTGTTGTTGTTGTGTGACGATTGTTGTTGTTGTGCTGTTGTGTGACGACTGTTGTTGTACTGTTTTGTGACGATAGTTGTTGCACTGTTGTGTAACTGTTGTTGTACTGTTGTGTAACTGTTGTTGTACTGTTGTGTGACGATTGTTGTTGTACTGTTTTGTGACGATAGTTGTTGTACTGTTGTGTAACTGTTGTTGTTGTACTGTTGTATGACGATTGTTGATGCTGTGTGACGATTGTTGATGCTGTGTGACGATTGTTGATGTTGTACTGTTGTGTGACGATTGTTGTTGTTGTGTGATGACTGTTGTTGTAATACACTGATAACTGTTGACGTTAGCTTATTGATACGGACGGTTTTTGCCTACCAAAATACCTGATGTGACGTCATCGTATTTTCTCGTATCGTATCGGCAACTTCTTTTTGATTCCCAGACCTACTACAGTGTGAATTTCCTTTTATAATATAGTGATATATTTTTATTTAAACAACGTCTTTCTGAACAAAATCACAACGTTTTCTACACGTGGAAATGACGTAATAAAAATGACAACGATCAAATCAGATATTAAATCCAAACTGTTCAATGATCCAACGTAGGTTTTCTGTCGCAAGTCTAACACGCACATGTCGATGTTTAACTGGTCCAAACAGACAATAAAACACTTAAAAAAACACTTTTACAACACGACTTGTTACTCCACTTCTGCCTCGGGAGCTCAAATCGACAGGACGCCGGTTTTTAATCATCAGATCTACTGTGTCCAGTCACATGATCGGAACTGTCCCGAGGCAAATCAGGGACAAACAATGAAAGTGAATCATTTTTCCAGCACAAAACACGCGATAATAAAATGCCAGAACGGTATAACTCTCTATTTTAATGATAAATGTCAAATAAAACGTCATTTGCGTCCATGGCTTTAAACCCCCCAGCTGTTTCCAGACGTTAGCTTCTCCCGTTAACATCCTCCCGTTCCCCGCGCGTTTTCTCTCCTCACAAACTTCACTTTCGCGTCCAAATGTCGCGGACGCGTTGAACCGTCCGCCCGCGGTTCGTTCGCGGCGGAAACCATCGCGTTTACCTTGAAATCCGGCGTTTTTTCGGCCATTCTCGTCGCTTCTGGCTCCGCTTTTTCCCAAAACAAATGTTACGTCATACTTCCTACTCCGAGGAACGCCCCCCTCCACGTCACGCGCCGCCCCGCAGCCAATCAGAGCCCGCCGAGAAAGTAGCGTTATTTTATTATATTTCAAAACAAATACGACAATTATTTAACTGAGAACAAAAAAGAAAAAAAATAAATAAATAAAATAAAATAAATAAATAAACAACTAACTATAGAAATTATATACAAATATCTAACTGAGAAATAAAAAAAACACACGCACAAACTACGTGTAGAAAAAATATAAACAAATATCTAATTGAGAAATTAACAAAAAAAAAAAAAAAAAAAAAACATGTACTAACTACGTATAGAAATTATATATACAAATATCTAACTGAGAAAAATAAATAATAAATAAATAAACAACTAACTATATAAATTATATACAAATATCTAACTGAGAAATAAAAAAACACACACACAAACTACGTGTAGAAAAAATATAAACAAATATCTAATTGAGAAATTAACAAAAAAAAAAAAAAAAAAAAAAAAAACATGAACTAATTACGTGTAGAAATTATATATAGAAATATCTAACTGAGAAAAAATAAATAAATAAAAACAAACTAACTATGTGTGGAAATTATATAAACAAATATCTAATTGAGAAATAAATTTAAAAAACTAACTACATTTAGAAATTATATATACAAATATCTGACTGAGAAAAAAAAAACTACGTATAAAAATTATCTCTACAATTATCTAACTGCGAAATACAAAAAACACAAACTAACTACGTGTAGAAATTATATCTACAAGTATTAGTTAAATGTTATTTCTTTGTCTGGAATGTTTCACAGTATGGCATTAAACCTTTTGATCTTCGCAGAGACCAAACTGGACCAAGTTCCAGGTCAGATCTGTGGAAGGCGAATCCGCTCCCAGTCAGAATGTTTGTTTTTGTCTCGATTTTTTGAGCTATAAAACCACCTGTAATTGAATAAATGTAAAGTAGAGGTGTTTAAAGTCACACTGTGGAATATTCCAGGCTGAGCAATGGCGTATCCATAGAAACAAGCAGGTGACGGACCCAAAAAGCTTTAAATTGTGTTTTTATGTGATTCTATTCAGATAAATATAATATAGTATATTATTAATATAATTTATAGTTTTGCACCTGTCTGGAGCTGCTGGGCCGACAGGTGCTCTGTTGGCAGGTGCTCTGCTGGCAGGTGCTCAGGGTGACAGGTGGAATCCCAATCTCAACATGAACGCGGTCATTGTGTCCTTGAGCAAGACACATAACCCCCCTGGTTTATAATTACACTGTACTATATACTGCTTCCAGTAGGAGTAAAAGTACAGAGTCTGAAAAGTACTCAGATAAGTACTCTTCTATCAAAGAGTTACTCAAGTAAAAGTAACTGAGTACGACTCATCACCTCAACTTTTTAAACCGAGAGTCAGAGTCAGAGTTTGTAACATGACGAGTCAAGAAACAACCACAGAGAAAAAATACTCTGCTCCTCTGACCCTCTGTACTACAATACTACAGTATAAATAGTACTACAATATTCATTATAAATGTACTACAGTATAAATGTACTACAGTACTACAATATTCATTATAAATGTACTACAGTATAAATGTACTACAGTATGCAGTATAACAGTACTAGAGTATGCAGTATAAATGTACTACAGTATAAATGTACTACAGTATACAGTATAAATGTACTACAGTATAAATGTACTACAGTATACAGTATAAATGTACTACAGTATAAATGTATGCAGTATAAATGTACTACAGTATAAATGTACTACGTATACAGTATAAATGTACTACAGTATACAGTATAAATGTACTACAGTATAAATGTATACAGTATAAATGTACTACAGTATGCAGTATAAATGTACTACAGTATAAATGTACTACAGTATACAGTATAAATGTACTACAGTATAAATGTACTACAGTATGCAGTATAAATGTACTACAGTATAAATGTACTACAGTATAAATGTACTACAGTATGCAGTATAAATGTACCACAGTATAAATGTACTACAGTATGCAGTATAAATGTACTACAGTATAAATGTATTACAGTATGATTCTCTGCACATCTGTTGCTGTGCACGTGCACGGCGTGCGTGGACAGGCGAGCACGAGCCCACCCCAAACCCCGGTCACGTGCACAGCGCGCGTTCGATTGGAGTGTAAACATGTGACGTCAGAGCACACCCGCCGGAAATGTGTTTAAAAAATAAAATATTATAAAATCTGTTTGTGAGTTTTTATTTTGTCATTGTGTTTAACCTGAAGAGAGAGTTTCTGAGTTCTTCTCTCAAACACAAAACACTCTATTCCACCTTGTGATGTCATGTGCTATACAGGAAGTGCTCCACTGTGTTTTAAACTTCACACACCTGCACTAGATTCATTTGGATCTTTTCAGCCCTGAATTACAAATCTCTGCTGAACTGAAGTTAAAAAGAGCGGTTCACTTTAAAATCAGCACTTCGCATGTGACATACGGGACATTTAACTTAGACTCAGACAAACTTTATTGTACCACAAGGGAACTTATTTGGATTTTATTTGGAAATTATTATTTAAATAGATAAAACTTTGAAGATTTTAATATAAAATCGAAAGTGCAAAGCAAACACCTAATCTGAAACGCAGATTATGATTTATGTTTAATGGTTTTACGGGTGAAATAAAGTCCAGAAAATGGTGTTGTTTACGCTGCGTGCTTTTATTGTGAAGGGTCGGACCGGACGCGCTGCTGCAGACGAGCCTCGGGGAGAGAAACGAGGGCAAAGAGACTGCGTTTGGTCCGAAAAAAGTCACGTTTTAGAGCGAACACCACCGCGCTACGGTCGCCACGGAAGGTTCAAGGGTGAGTGCACGCGCTGCCAAAGCCGCTCACGCCATGTTTGCGTTTTAAGATTTGTTTAAGTGTCTGCAAACGGGCGAAAACTCGGAGACGAGGCGAGAAGCTGCGTGCAGATGGCAGTTGCGACACATGCGAGCTCGAAATAAACACGATCGTTAACGGTGCGGGGAGCGGGGGCACGCGGGTTTGCGCCGGTGGATCGTTCGGTAACGTGTCACAAAGCGCCGGTGACATGACACTCCGCGGATGGACCCGCAGCGGCGCGGCTAACGCGGCCGAAGCTAACGAGGCTCACGGTGGTGTCAGAGGCTGCGGTGTTTACGTGCATCCTGCAAAGAAAAGCAACGCACGGGTTCGAAAAGGACCGAGCGTGCACGAAACGAGATTTGAGAACGTGCTTGAAATGTTTTTGGAGAGTTTCATGACGCGTAAATGACCGTAATATCATGACGCATACGTAAATCTACTGTACGCACACGAGAATCTTTTGTTTCTCAAATGTGACAGTGCAGACGCTTCGAGGGGCTCTTACTGTTATTGTTTAGTTAAAATGCACATTAATAACCATGTGTGCATTATACAGAAATGTACGGATGTAACAACAACCGAAATATCGTGATATTGTATCGTCGAAAGTCTCACAATAATATCGTGGACTGTCGCAACATATCGAATCACAAGTTTCTTTATTTAAATGTAGGTTTTATAGTAGCAACAGCTTATAAACATAGAGAACGACTACGGATGCAATGATATCCAAATCTCTCTGTACGATATTATCACGATATGCATCGCATGTTACGATATTTATTGCGATATTTTGCAGAGGCTGATATAATTGCAGACAGGACACTTTTTTTGCTTTTAAAACACCCTGACAAGATTTTGGTGTGAATCATTTCCATCATAATTCCAAGAATTCAAGTAAAAAACATATTTCTTCATGTTGTCTGCGCTGAAATGAATCATGGGAAATGTAGTTTCCGGTGGTTATAAACTGTTACTACTGTAAAACCTGAATTTAAATAAAGAAACTTGTGATTCGATATATTGTGATGGTCCACGATATTATTGTGAGACTTTTGACGATACGATATCACGAGTTGTTGTACAGTTGTAGGGAGTATTATCTGTTCCATAAGGGTGAGTTGTTGTACAGTTGTAGGGAGTATTATCTGTTTCATAAGGGTGAGTTGTTGTACAGTTGTAGGGAGTATTATCTGTTCCATAAATGTGAGTTGTTCTACAGTTGTAGGGAGTATTATCTGTTCCATAAGGGTGAGTTGTTGTACAGTTGTAGGGAGTATTATCTGTTCCATAAGGGTGAGTTGTTGTACAGTTGTAGGGAGTATTATCTGTTCCATAAGGGTGAGTTGTTGTACAGTTGTAGGGAGTATTATCTGTTCCATAAGGGTGAGTTGTTGTACAGTTGTAGGGAGTATTATTGTTACATAAAGGTGAGTTGTTGTACAGTTGTAGGGAGTATTATCTGTTCCATAAGGGTGAGTTGTTGTACAGTTGTAGGGAGTATTATCTGTTCCATAAGGGTGAGTTGTTGTACAGTTGTACAGAACAGAAAACGTAAAAGTGGCGTCGTGTCTTCATTTTTTATTCCGCGTTTAGACAAGTTTTTTCGGGAGTAAATCTGTTGCAGTCGGTGAGGCAAAAGTGTGTGGAATTGGACTGTGTGATGCCAGTCGACTCGGTGGTGATGTTTGTCACGTAAACGTGTACACGACCTGAGCACATGTGACCAGAGTTTTGCGTCTTGGGCAGTGTAGACGGAAACATTATGGTGGAGCCTATTCAACTTTTACACTCTGGAGGCTGGGTTCAGATTTTTGCGTTTTTCAGTCCCAAAAACACCGTCACCGTCTAAACAAAAGACACTTCCCATCACATATTTTGTCGTTTTTACTAGAGCCCGACCGATATGGATTTTGTTTTTGCCGATATGATACCGATATAATGGGAGTTGGAGCTGCCGATAGCCGATATAATCGCCGATATATTTAGTGATGTAAAAATTCACTGTAAATCTTGAATTATTAAAAAAAAAAACTTAGGTTTGGCTCTTGTGGATTTTAAACTGGGTTTATTTAGGCAACATTTATTGTTATTCTGACTCTTTACATGACATGTCATAGGACTAAAGCAGGTCTAAGGCAGGTCTTAATCAGGACTAAAACAGATCTAAACTATGTGTAAAACAGGACTAAACCAGAACTTAACCAGGACTGAGTGTCGGGACTCGGTCTCTCCCTCTCTCGACCCCAAGATTAGTCCTGGTTTATTTATTTTATGCTGAATATACTTATGCATGTTTTTTTTTTATCCTATGCACACGCAGATTTCTGAAAGTTTCGTTTTTAGCCGCTGCCGCTGTCAAACTACCAAGAGTCTGCACACGGCGTGAAGAGAAAAAAGTGAGAGAAAGAGAAAACACGGCTCCCAATGAGGAAGCAGGCTCCTGTCGTTCGCTTCAAAGAGCCGGATCTAAGAGCCGCTTCGTTCGCGACCGACCCATAACTACTAGCTAGTAAAGAAACTACAGCTATTAGCCTTTAGCCGTAAATGCTGCGCGCCGCGGTAATTAATTATATGCGCAAATTTCATCATTTACACGTCTATTCACAGCTCATTTACATATCAATGCTGGTCCAGTAACAAATATACGGCCAATGTAAACACTTTACAATAGACCAATAGAAAACAGCCTGTTTATGTGCGGGAGCTACAGCAGCTAATCGCTAACAAAACCAAACCTATCTTCAAAGTCGATGCATTTCCAAAACTCACCGCTCACACAGGCTCCTCCTCACATCACAAATCTGAACTAATAAATGTCCTTTTAATCCAGACTCAAACCGATTGTCCGTAAAAAGAAAATAATCTCAGTGTTTGGATCAATATCTGCGGATGTAAACAAACGCACGTGACTCTGGGGGTGTGTTCAGGGGCAGTACGAACACACGCAGACAAATGACTCGCGGAGCCACATATTTGGACATTTATATATTTGTAAATTGGATTAAATGAACATAATGTAGAGAGTCTAAGCTTTATAAGGATGTATAACATGCCCACATGAAATATCGGCCCCTATCAGCAAGTATATCGGCCGATAGCCGATATGCTTCCAGGTGCTCATGTCGGCCATCCGATATATCGGTCGGGCTCTAGTTTTTACCCATAAGCGTTCGCGTATAAACAGGACCTCAATGATTTAAAAACTAGGGCTGTGCAAAAATATCAATGTAATTGTATCGTTGAATGTGATGATTCAGTATCGATATCGTGGGCTGCTGTATCGATATATCACCAAGAGGATGGAAGGAGGTTTATTTTACTAAATGATTTAGTTCCAGCTCCAGTTTTGTTGTTTGTTCAGAGGAAGGAAACTCGTTTATGCGACACATTTGACATTTTCTAGCCTGATTCATCAGCCGGTTTCACTTCGTAGAAACCGTCTGACCTCACAGTGTTAGGATTCGTTCGCTCGACCGTAGGCGGGTACCGTATTTTCCGCACTCTAAGGCGCTTTGGATTGTGGCGCGCAGTCGTTTTTTGATGGGGTTGGAGGATTAAGAGCGCGTCCCATAGTGCAGAAAATACGGTACTTTTTAAAATTTAACCAATCGCTGCTGTTTGGTCATGACGTATGTAATGCACCAAATCCCGTAGGAAGACCAAACATTCACCAAACATTCTCTTTTTTTCCAGTGTGTGATAGTATTTTGTTCCCGGGGTGAACATTCCGCTGTAGTAAAGTGACCCCCCCCTGTAGGATTTTGACTCCTCTTACTTTTTTCTTTAGTCGTTACTTATCTAATCATTATTTTTCATGTCATTTACTTTTATTATATATTTCTACATATTCACGAACTTTTAAGGTATTTTAAAGAATGTTTTGTTGGAGAACGACTTTGTGTAAATGTAACGTGTTGTTAAAATTGCATATACATAACAATCTTGTCACTTTTTACTTTGTATTTTACATTGATATGGTTTTTAGTTTGTTATGTTCAGATAATCCTTCATCAGAATGTCAGTTTAGGCGACGATTTGTAAGAATAACCACCTTGAATTTAGTCATGTTGTGTTATTAAATCTTCTCCTGTCATCTGTTTAACAACTAAACTGATCAGCTCTGTTTATTTGAACAAGATTCCAAATCATTCTACATCACTTTGATTAACTAACGACTTACTAAAATATGTGTTTAAACAACTAAGTCATTTTTAACATTCTAAAGTTACAATCCACATAAAAAATGCATCTGAGTTCTTCCAAAAACACTTTTAAATATGTCAATATGTTTTAATTTGCAGATATAGTTTTAGTATTCAAAGTTTTTCTATAGAATTCAAGTTGTTTATTAATAAAATATAGATTTTTATAGGGGGGTCAACATACCAGAATAGGATTTTGACCCCGGGGTCAAAATGCTTCACCACACCGGCTTTAAATCCTCGGGATCTCGGGAATCGTCGACAACACAGAATGTCTGTCTCTTCTCTGACTGGCTGGTCAAACTCGCACTTCGGTGTTTTTGTGAAATGTCAAGTGTTTTCTGATTCCTGACCTAGTCTCTGGAGAGAAATGAAACTGAGCGGAGACACTAGGTGGCGCCAGACTGACTACCGTATTTTCCGCACTATTAGTCGCTCTGGATTATAAGGCGCACTGTCAGTAAATGGTCTATTTTCGAACTTTTTTCACAAATAAACCGCGTGGGACTTTAAAGGAAACCCAACCGTGTGATGGGTGAGTGGTTTTTGTTTGTTCGTTCACGGTGACTCTGGGCTTCGTTCAGTTGTGGCGTGCAGGGAGGGTGCTGTCTGGGAAAAAGTAAGAGGAGTCAAAATCCTACAGGGGGGTCACTTTACTATAGTGGAATGTTCACCCCGGGGTCACACACTGGAAAAAAGAGAATATTTGGTGAATTTTATCAAGAGGAAAGATGTTATTGTCCTTCTTCCTACGGGATTTGGGAAAAGCTTAATGTACCAGTTATCCCCGTTAGCGGCGCATTACAAACGTCACGACCAAATGACAGCGATTGGTTAAATGATAAAAAGTCCCCGCCGACCGTCGAGCGAACGAATCCTAACACTGTGAGGTCACACGGTTTCTACGAAGTGAAACCGTCTGATGAATCGGTCCACTGAAAATGTCAAATGTGTCGCATAAATGAGTTTCCTTCCTCTGAACAAACAACAAAACTGGAACTGGAACCAAATTACCGTATTTTCCAGGCTATTAGTCGCTCTGGATTATAAGACGCTCTGTGATTAAATGGTCTATTTTCGAACTGTTTTCACAAATAAACCGCGTGGGACTTTAAAGGAAACACAACAGTGTGATGGGTGAGTGGTTTTGTTTGTTTGTTCGTTCACGGTGACTCTGGGCTTCGTTCAGTTGTGGCGTGTAGGGAGGGTGCTGTCGCTGGATTGTCGGCGTGTTCGCAGTGACTCAGTTGTTCAGTCGTGTCTAGAAGCGGCACGTTGCGCTCGTCGCTTTTTTCTCTTCGTTCCTCCGTTGCGTTCTTTGTCAGCGTGGAGTGATGAGTGTGTCTGTGGGTGTGTTTCGCTGTGCGGTCGCTGTCTGCTCCGTGTGTGTTTGCGGCGTTGTAGTTTACTGAAGTCGTGCTGGGACACCCGAGTGGATTCGTGTATGGGGCGCTCTGGATTGTGGCACGTGGTCGCTTTTTGATGCGGTTAGAGGCTTAAGAGCGCGTCTAATAGCCCGGAAAATACGGTACATTTTCACTGTTTGAGGATTAAACTGTTTGTGTTTCATTTGAACTTTGCACAAGAAGAAGTGTTTTAACAAAGACTTTCAGTGTCACAAACATGATTGAGGCTTAATTTTCAAGTGAACCGTATCGAATCGTTTTGAAATGTATCGTATCAAATCAAAAATACACTGTGTAGAGATATGCATCGTATCGTGGCCTGTGTATCGTATCGGCGACTTCTTAATGATATCCACAAATAAATTAAAAACACAAATACATATATATATATATTATATATAAAAAAAAAAAAAATAATAACACTAATAATAATAAAAATAAAATAATAATGAAAAAAAATAATAATAATGACAATAATAATAATAATGACAATAATAATAATAATAATAATAATGACAAATAATAATAATAATATGACAATAATAATAATAATAATAATAATGACAATAATGACTAATAATAATAATAATAATGACAATAATAATAATAATAATGACAATAATAATAATAATGACAATAATAATAATAATGACAATAATGACAATAAAAACACAAATAAATTTAATTAACCAGATTAATTGTGCAGATTTTAGAGTGAAGATTCAAACAGAACAAAACTTCACTTCTGTAAAAGCCAAAATCCAGAAGTATGAGGTTTGGAGCAGAGTTATGAGCGTGGACTCGTGTGAACTATGATTTCGTAATAAATATTTGTGTTTTTTTTTTTTTTATGAGGAAAACTAAATCGAGCCAAAGTCAGAGGAGTAAAGTTAAATCTGTTGTGTGTTTTTTGTTTCTCGCAGGTTTCACCAGCATCAGCGGCGTCTCTCCCCGGCTCCACGTCTCCACATTTCACAAAACCCATCGTGCCTATTTCATATTTATTATTTCTCCTTTTGGTCTGAGCGCCTCGTCCCGTTCACCAGCAGAACTCTTCGTCGTCACATCGCACCGACATGGCCTCCCAGCAGACCGACATGGACATCCCCGACAACCACAGGGAAAGCTGGCTGGCTCTGCTTTCCGCGGCGGAGGCGTACAGTCAGAAGTCCGGCTGCGACGTGGCCATCCTCACGGCCTGCAAGAAGTTCCGGTCGGGCGAGCAGACGGAGAAGAAGCGAGAGGGCGCCCCCTACCCCCGAGAGTGCGACTTCTCCTACGGCGTGTGGGGCCCGGGGTTCCTGGCCGAGTCGGCGCGCAGGTGAGTCCAGCGCCGAGATCACGCCACCGAAACCACAACGGAGCAAAACTCACCTGCGCGAAGTCGCCCCACGAAACACAAACCTGCACGAAAACTGTGGTTATGTTTACACTGAAACAAATCACCGTATAGGAAACGATCTGCGTCCAGACACGTCGTTTCTGTGTCTGTGAGGTTTCATTCTCCTCACAGCTTTGAGCACATTTGTTTACATTTTACAGAAACAAAACTTAAAACCGCATGACTCATTTGCATAAACTGAGCGCTCAAAAAACAGCTCCCTGTGAATTCGTGGATCATTTGTTTTTCAAAATAAAACCAAAAATAATAAAACGGAAAAAAACAACTATTATCTTCATTATTTGTCTCTAAAACCAAAATGAAAAAAAAAAAAAAAGGATTAAGATTTGTTTTTTTTCAGTTTTCGATTTTGTGTTTAAAAGAAAAATTGAAAAAAAAAAAAACAAAAAAACAGCGAACGGCCTTTTCCCCGTTTCTGTGACTTAAACTCCAGGTCCGGGACCAGACCGGGACTGAGTCTCAGTCCCGGTCTCAGTCCTGGCCCCGGTCCTGGTTCCCGGCCTCAGTCCCAAGCCTCGGTCCCGTTCTAAGTCGTGGTCTCAGTCCCAGACTCAGTCCCGGTCTGGTTCCAGATCTGGTTTAGTCCTGGTTCAGTCCGTTATCCATTTTTTCCATTTTTCATTTAAACTCAAAATCAAAAACTGAAAAAAATGTATTACTATCTGTTTTTTCATTTTGGTTTTGGAGACAAATAATGAAGAAAATTGTTTTTTTTTTTGTTGTTATTTTTGGTTTTATTTAGAAAAATGAATGAACGAACGACATACGGGTTCTTCAGGAGTATCAGTGTTTTCAGGCGTCCACACAGTTTTGGAGATGTTAATGATTCTTTTAAAGGTCAAATTGGGGTCAGCGGCCTCCAGGAAACTTCATAATGAAATAAAACAACACAAAATGTCAATCATTTGTTTTGTTTTGGGTCGATGACGTCGTCCAGCTCCTCAAAATGAGAAACTGGCTCAAAACAGCAGAAAATTTAACCAAACGTTTGTATTTGGTTTGTGCTGTTTTGTGTGTGACTGTTTTCATTTGTGCGAGTTTATTTCTAAAATATCAATTATTATTTTTGCATAAATGATATGAGGTCATTTCTGTTCAGATGACGACAGCGGCTTTAACAAAACTCCATAAAACAAGTGACGAGAAACGACCTGAGGCTGTGGAAAAGTCTGTGTTATTTTATCAAACATGTTGTTTCTCTTCACTCTCTTTGTGGAGTTTTGTTAAAGTCGCTGTCGTCAGCTGAGCAGAAATGACCAAAATATAATTTACACAAAAATAATAATTAATCATTTTAGAAATAAACTCACACAAATGAAAACAGTCAGAGCACAAACCAAATACAAACATTTGGTTTAATTTTCTGCGGTTTTGAGCCAGTTTCACATTTGATAACATTTAAATTACAGAACATTGTACTTTGTTTTAAGTGAAAACGACAATAATCTAGAAGAAAGTAGATTTTTTTTCAGAACATTCTGGTGATAAAATGTTACACGTGTGTAACTGAGCTGGACTTGGACACAAACCCATCTTGGTGTCTGTGTTTGTCTTGATTGTCGTAGTTTTTCAGCGTTGTGCCTTTTGCGGTTTTAATCTTCATGAAACAAAAATGTTCTGGTTGGGAAACCTCGACTCAACACGGAGAGCAGATCTACAAGGAGATGAAGTCACTTTAGCATCTAAAAGTTCACTTCTGTTACGACTCTTCTTACTCTGTAATAACTCAAACATTGTACAAATACGAGCTCATAAATGTCCCAAATGAAAATAAACAAAGTGTACATTTAGACAGTAATTATATAATGAATAATAAACAGAAATACACGATTTATAATGACAGTTAAAATCAGTGACTCACCTCATGTCCAACTCCCATGAACTCACCAGACTCACAGCACCAGGGTCACTTCACTGCAGATCACCACAAGAGGGCGCCACACGACCAAAAGAGCCCGAAAAGAGTCAAGACAAATGTAAATGCAAATACCACATCATCTAAACTTTTAATGTCATGAATAAGATCTATATTTCAACAGCTTTTATAGAATTGTACTTTGTTATAAGTAAAAACATGATCTAGAACAGGAGAGTCAAACTCAAATTCACAGAGGCAAAAATAAAAAACTGGGACAAAGTCGTGGATATTTAAATATTTAATGGTAAATTTCAACATCTGCATGTTTTCTCTTCTTTCCAGATCTGTAATGTTAAACTTTATCTTATTAAATAAATGTTTAATAATAGTTTTGCTTAAACACTGAATCCAGAACAAACAGAATATAAAATAATAACAACATGTTAAATAAATCATGTCTCTATAGTCGATCTGTGTGCGGCGGCAGCTCTAATATATATGGTTATATCGCTGCTCTAGAAGAAAACATCAAGAATAAGTCATTTTTTCTAGCACATTCTGGTGATAAAATGTAATGCATGTGATTAAGTAAACTTTCCAGCACATTCTAATGATAATAATTTGTTTTTTGTTTTTTTCTCTCCTGCACATTCCTGTGATAAAATGTCGTACATGTGATTAATTACACTTTTAATGTTATGAATAAGATCCATATTTAAAGAAATGTTATAGAATTGTACTTTGTTATAAGTAAAAACAACACGATCTAGAAGAAAACATCAAGAATAAGTTGTTTTTTCCCAGCACATTCTGGTGATAAAAGTCAGATTAATCACATGTTTAACATTTTAATATTATGAATAAGAATTGTACTTTGTTCTAAGTGAAAACAACAGTGATCTACAAGAAAACATCAATAATAAGTAGTTTTGTTTAGTTTTTTCAGCACATTCTAATGATAAAATGTTATTCATAACGTTAAAAGTGGAATCACATGCATAAGATCCATATTTAAACAACTGTTATAGAATTGTACTTTGTTATAAGTAAAAACAACATGATCTAGAAGAAAACATCAACGATTAGTTATTTTGTTGTTGTTTTTTCCAGCACATTCTAATTATAAGTCGTTTTTTTTTTTTTTTTTTTTTTTTTTTTCAGCACATTCTGGTGATAAAATGTCGTACATGTGATTAATTACACTTTTAATAATATGATAATAATATGAACAAGATCCATATTTATAACAAAGTACAATTCTATTAAAGTTGTTCAAGTGAAAACAACAATCATCTAGAAGAAAACATCAACAATAAGTAGTTTTTTGTTGTTTTTTTCAGCACATTCTGGTGATTAAATGTTACACATGTGATTAATTACACTTTTAATATTATGAATAAGATCCATATTTAAACAACTTTAAAAGAATTGTACTTTGTTATAAGTGAAAACAACATCTACATCAGGAGAGTCAAACTCATTTTGTTCCGGGCGTCGTGTCCAACCGACTCTGATCCCAAAGTGTCCGGATCAGAAAACTCATGTCATATAAACCCCAAAAATAACAATAAGTTCAAATATTTGTGCAGAGAAACACAAATCTATTACACAAATCTTTTTTAATTGATGAACTTTTTCTTTTACAAAATATTATAATATTATGAACAACCTGAAACTTTAAGAAAAATACAATTTCAACACAAAGTTTGAACATGAACTTGTCTGTAAACAGGAATAAGTAAATTTTTGTTGTAAAATCCTGCACTCGGCTCCACTTTTCTCATGTTGGACATTTTTCTGATGAGGGTGTCACGGTCAACAGTCAAAACGATCGTCCTTTAAGAGCGTTTGGAAAGAGACAAGTCTTCATTTGTGCTGCTCTGGTGGGAGGGGCCACGTACAGAGACGCTGGAGACGCTGCTGTGATAAACACCACAGAAAATTAACAACATTTTAATAGAAAATATAATTACAATATTTTAGTAGAAAATCAGCCGAGGGCCAGACTAAAGGTCTTGGAGGGCCGGATCTGGCCCCCGGGCCGTATATTTGACACCCCTGGACTAGAAGAAAACCTCAAGAATAAGTAGTTTTTTGTTTTTTTCCAACAACTTCTGGTGATAAAATGGTAATATTCTTTGTTTTTTTGTTCTCACGATTATAAAATGTCCCAACGATTATTGCAAAATCATTTTAATCTCGAGAAACGACATCCCCAAACTGAATCAGATTTTATCACGTTTTTGGAGTCACTGATAGTTTACAGTGACATCGCTCTGGAGGAGTTCTGCATGTTTGTCTGTGGTGGAATGTTCAGCGGTTATTACGATGGATGTGACAATAACAGAAATATCGTGACATTGTTTCGTCAAAGGTCTCGCAGAAATATCATGGGACATCGCAATATATCGAATTACAAGTGTGTCTGTAAACATGTGTGTAAACGTGTGTAAACATGTGTGTAAACATGTGTGTAAACGTGTGTAAAAATGTGTGTAAATGTTTGTAAATGTGTGTAATTGTGTGTGTAAACGTGTGTGTGTGTGTGTGTCAGGTACATGGAGGACATCGGCGTTCTTCACTCCACCACGATGCTGACGGCGCAGAGACACACGCGACACAGCGCAGGGGGCGGAGCCAAGATCGAGCTGACCTCTGACCCCGCGGCGGCGCACAGGGCGGTGAGTCTCCGCGTCCGAACTGTCGCTGTTCAGGACTCGACGCGTTTTTCATCACTTCATCTTAGAATCAGGCACTTTTTTTTTTTTTTTTTTTTTTTTTTTGACATTTAAAGGTTCAGTGTGTAACTTTTTCTGGAGGTGTGATGCCCCCTGTTGGACTGTAGGCGTCAGTTCAGTTTGTTCATACAAATTCTGTTTGAGAAAAAGTTGTATTTAAGTTTCATGTTGAGAATTATTCACCAAAACTGATGTTAAAGTTTAGTTTTTACCTGAACGTTAGATTCTTTGACAATCAAGGAATGAATTACAATAAAATAAAATGAATCTAGAGGTTTTTATTTTAAATACTTAACTCAAGATCTGCTCAAACAATATGAACTTGTTCTTGTATTTAACAGTTTTTAATAAAAAAATAAAATAAAATCAATAAAATAATAATAAAATTAATAAAACATTATTATTATTATTATTAAATAAAAAATAAGACTAATAAAATAAAATAATAATCATTTATTATTATTAAGTATGATGTAACAGTAATATAATAATACAAATTAAACAAACAAAATACTTAGGACTGGGCAAAAATTAAAGATATTAATTGCATTAATTGCATGATTTCCTGTGATTAATCATGATTAATCTCATGTTATACACAAAACCAATGAATAAATTCAAAAGTAGTGTATAGTGACTTTTATTGTAAATGTAAATAAAAGTGTCACATGTGTCGTACAAACAGAACTTTTCTTTAAACAGGAGCAGGACACGAGACTGTGAAGTTCAGGTTTATTCTTCTTCCTTTGGAGAATCTCACTCAAAAAAACAAAAACAATTTCAGTTCAGTTTGTCAATTCCTAGAATTTGGGTTGGGACAAAGAGCGATGGGGCGGTGGTGCCTCTGAAAACTCTCGGTGCCTGCACTCTGTCCGTAATGTGAGTGTGGAGCGACGACGGAGTATCATCAGATTGTGTTGGTTTGATATTTCAGACCCGTGAAACTCCGGTGATGAGACAGTTCAGTGATGCAGTTTTATAAATCACTCTGTCTGTGTCGACTTCTCCGTCTGAAGAACTTTAAAATGAAAATATCCATGTAAAAGTTCCTCACCCTTCTTCATGTTTGTTTATTTCTTTCTTTCTCTGTTTCCTGTGACGCCGCAGCAGAAAACAACAATCTAGACTCGCTCACAGTGGACTTTTTCAAAATATCAAAACCACTGACCAATATATCGTATCGTTCAATGTGATATTACAGTATCGATATCGTGGGCTGCTGTATCGATATATCGCCAGGAGTATTTTTGGTATATTTTACTAAATTAT